TCAAGTGCTCTTGTCCTTTTCGTGACACTGAGAAATAAGTACATAAATGCGTTACCAACAGACATACACACAAAAATACAGAACTTAATTAGGGAATTTGCTACGTTTTAAGCATAACAAAGTACATATAAAATTAGAATTTGAAATCTTTGTCAATGTCATCAAATTTTATCATAACAATTTATATTTGCTTGGACCGAAGATGACGCGAAATGCTGACGAAATGACGGATTACTTTATAAAATGAAGTACTATAGACAATTTAGATTGGTAATTTAACCTATAATAAAAATTACCAAAATAGGCCATGAACTATTGATACATAAACCAGGGGCGGACTGGCCCGCCGGCCCACCGGCCAGTGGGCCGATACGCCTTCTCAAAAGTCCCATATTTGCGCCCTCGTTAAAGGAAAAATTCATATTAAAAAAAAAAAATGAGACGAGACGTATTTTTGGAAAGCAAGAGTAAAAACTTCGAGTAAAAGTTTCAGCAGTAAATAGGAAAACATAAAGTCGGGTGTGAGACCTGAATAGACACTGTCGACAAGCGAGAGCAAAGCAGCTCTTCTCTCTCGTACGTGTGGCCTACTCCGAGTGGAAGGCACTTTAATCTGTGCTGTGGTCTGAGCTACTTAAAAACAGCTGTCCTCTTCCCGCGTCATTTTACGCCGAACCCGAAAAAAAACTGCACTGGGACTGCATCCGACATCGGTCTCGGTCGGTGTCACGATGTATTGTCGTCTGTGGTAAACAACTAGTGAAGATAATTTAATATTATTTCATATTTGTTATAATATTTAATTATTGCTCACACTTTATCTATTTCACTTTAAGCACAGAAAACATACTACTAGTATGTTTTCTGTGCTTTAAGTCACATTCAATTTTTATCAATGTCAACTCAACTCTTTTGTAAAATGGCGTTTGCCGTGCATGTAATAAATAAATAAAGAGTGTGAGCTGCCAATTAAAATGTGTCTCTCTTTAGTGAGTGTCTAATTTGTGTATCTGTGTCGAAAGCTTCAATTTATTTTTATATTCTTTACCTACACGGGAAACATGAACGAATGTAGTATTGTAGAATCACTACTTTTACAAAATTAAAATTAGATTTAGTGACAGTGTATTTGTTAACTTAACCATTACACAGTAAAGGTTAAACAGTAAACAGTATTTTAATATGTGGCTACCGCCTATTAATTAATGATTTGAATATGCACTATGGCACTAATTTGGTCAACTTTCCTATTTTACTCACACATAGCCAGCCCAAAATACCTTCGTAGTTCTCTCTAGGCTATGGCTTCCATTTCGTTTGTAGAAATGGCTTAGGTAGGCCTACTTTAGGGTTACAGTTTTGACTTAATGTAATGCTAAAACAGTTTTAGTCAATAAATTGGGTTTTTTTCACAGTGAAAGCATATATTGTTTGTGTTAAAATAATTTCATAGAAATCTGAAATATATAACTTCTGTTATTTACAGTGCCAAAAAATACATCAGTTGCAGGTTCGGGTTGTAAACAGGAAGCACATGATTTATATTGTATGCATGCAGCAAAGTCATGCAAGGGAAAATAGTGAAAATACACAAATATAATACGAAAGAACCTAAGAAAATCGTTTGTATTTTTATTTTTGTTAGGATATTTACTGTCAGAATAGCGCCAAGTCGTGTGGGTAAATAGTCTAAATTTTGTAAACCAAACATTGACCAATAGTGTCAGTGATCAGATTTCTGATTTCCACTGTTAATGACTCTAGATTGCCTAAAAATGCGAGATTACAGGTATAATTTTTAAAAAATTTCCCCTCTGTACAGGGGGGTATTCCATACCCCCCAGACCCCCCGGTTGGCGCCTTCGGGCTAGTCAAGGTTTACGCCCTAAAAGAGTACCCAGTCCGCCCCTGACATAAACAACGTAAATCGTAAACAATTCATAATGGTTTGCTAAAAAAACGTTTTACTTAAATGAGTTATCATTTTCTTAGCATAAACTAACATTTTGGAATCCAGACAGAAAAAGCAAAACTTATACAGTTAAGACATCAATTAAATTGAATAAGGCTGTAATACCACTGTATAAATAAGGTGCAACACCAACGATAACTAATTTGTAAATTACAGTGATGTGTTGGTACGTAAAAATGATTCTTGCTGCTACCAACGGTTCTAAGGGAAAAAACCAGTACCAAAAACCAACGTTTACAGTTAAGAATTACGTCCGACAAATAAAATGCGTTAATCAAGTCCCAAGGTTATTGATTTCTTGGTTTTGGATTTTTTCGTGAAAAGTTATCGGCAATCAAAATTATTTCCCATTAATTGCTTTATTCGTAAACAACTTTTAATGTAAACTTATTGGTGTCAGTTTGAAAAAAAAAACAACTGTTTGTTATTTAATAGATTACGCAGGCCTATTCTCTAAACAATGATTGGTATATCTTTTAACATTAGAATGAAATGTGACCAATGCTGTGACCAATCACGCAATGCTGGGTTTTTGGACGTTTGTAATTTTATTTCTTAAGTAGGGAGGCCGTGTATTCTAGGGAAAAGTACCGGTATCAAGGATCGTCGTCGAAAAGGTTGTTATGAATAATTGGGTAGGCGTAAGTACCCAAGAGATGGGCTATGGGCCTATTGGCTGTATCGTCCAGCGATTGCATCATACGGTGAATAGGAACAGAAAGTAACACATTGGAAAAGCGAGTTTAGCATCATCCATAAACCGTAAACCTCTGTTACAATCACCCACTGTAGTTGTGATTTTTTGCTTTACACTTTACACTTTACACAACCACCATTGAAGCGCCGTCAATGAGTTAGTAAGCTATTGGCGACGATCATTAATAAATTCAAGTTTCCCAGCCCTATACAACACTGATTCAAGGTTATCAAAACTCAAGAACAATTTTATATACAAAGAATCTCTGGTTCCTAACCTGGATGATGTTATTAAATTTCATTTACGGTTACACTATATTATTCCACTTGCGATTAATTAAATCCGTTATGTAAGACAACGATTTTAATCTCACTTGGATGGGCTTTGCCTTGAAAACGTGATCGGAAATGGTTGTGGTATTTGTAAACATATCAGTGACAGCGAGAAAAAAATATCTTGATCCGAACAGCTGTTCGTTATTTCATAGATCATTATGTGATAAAAATTGGAAGAAAACTTGACAAAAATCGCACAAAACTGCATTTTTGAACGTCCGTAATGTTATTTACTAATTATTGAGGCCATATTTTAATGGCTAAAGACACTCTCGCCAATCCAGTGAATACATTAAAATGACTTGGATCTTGATAGGTACTCTCGTTTTCCTGGAGAAGATTGTGTAAAATGCCATCTTGAGTGTTACAGAAAGACAGAAAGACAGACAGACAGACAGGAATTTAGATGAGACTTGTTTCGGCTTCTTTAAGTATAAAACGTAAAAATAACCTACAAATGAATGATTATGAGCAATGTACAGACAAAACTCTAATTTTATTTATATAGATTCTCATTGGTTGCAATTTAATAAGTGGTGTAGCAAAACACAAACACAAAATTTATTGAAATGAAATTAAGTCAATGTTAAGTGAATACTATTAATAAACATATTTACGACATAAAGACATTTAATTGAAGCCTAAAAAACCGTTCGAAAAGGCATTCTATTCTTTATACTAGTAAAAATTAAAATGAGGGGATAAAAAATAGTTTTCAAAGATCATGTTGATCAATGTACCTATCAATGTATCTAGTCTTGAAAAAATAAGTAGGCTATTTAAAAGCAGACTCCAAACATAATGAAGTTGATCGGTTGTTAACAAAATGTCATCATTTTTCAAACCATGTAAACCTTATAGTTTTCCAACTGTTGCCTTGTTTATTTTTTTCTTTTTATGTTTTTTTTTACTTTGTCATGTTTCAATTAATGGTTCAAATATTCATAGTATATATATTTCTGAACAAGAACATATACCCATGTATATATAACTAATAAACGTTCCATAAGCATTTTACACGAGAGAACACTATTCGGCAAGTAGCCGGTCATCATGAAGGAGCTTGGACGTCGTGCAACAGCGCTGAGCTATATTGGAAGTCGTGCAACAGTCAAATATTTATTGTACGTCGTGGCACTTGGACGTCGTGCAACTGGCAGCGACTTTGGACGTCGTGCAACACTCCCGCAAATGTTACTTTTTTACAATTATATAGTGCACTGTTTCACGACGTCCAAGTGCCACGACGTCCAAAGCTTGTAGAAAGACTATATTTTTGGCAGTTACTGTACTTTTGGACGTCGTGGCACTTGGACGTCGTGCAACAACTCAAAAATTATGTTTTGGACGTCGTGGCACTGAATAAATATTATTGGACGTCGTGGCACTTGGACGTCGTGCAATGCATCCCATCTGATTCGTATCAACTTTTTAAACTTCAAAAAAGAATACTTAGAATTATGACTTTTAAACCCGTAAAACATTCTTGCAAACAACTTTTTAAAGAACTAAAGATTCTAACCGTCCCTAATTTGTATATTCTTAAATGTTTATTGTATGTGAAATCAAATTTTGAAAAACTCCACAGTGAAAATAATTGGCACAATTATAACACTAGATTTCATACAGATTTTCAATATCCTATACACAGATTAAATCTTGTGGAAAGGACACCTTCTTATATGGGTAAAAGATTTTTTAACAATTTGCCTGGGTACTACAAATCTATAATAGGATTAGTATCTTTCAAAGAAAAATTTTTTGAATTTTTATTGGAAAAGAATTATTATAGTATTGGTCAGTTTCTTGAAGATAAATCAATGTGAATTGTTTGTTTTGTTACCTACTATGTATTTATTTTTACCAATATAAGCTAGTTTATTTTTTAGTATAGTTTGACAATGTCACCTGTTTTGTCTGGCTGTGCCAGAGCATAAAAAAAAAACGTTTTGTGACAATAAAGATGACTTTGACTTTGACTTTGTTTCGTTTACAGGAATTCAGTGAGATTAGCAATAAGAAAAATAATGTACGCTCCGAGCAAACAAGGGGAACAACCTTCTGTGGAGGTTAGCAAGGAGTTCATGATGAGTCCAAACAAACTACATCTTGAGGCTTCATTAGACAAAGAAGTGAGTGCTAGGTTATGATAAGGCTAGAGGGCTCTTTAGGACTAATCTGTAATAGAGGGATTGACATTTTCTGAAATTGATTTGGTACACTGATTTTGGATTATTCTTAAAATGTGGTTCCTTTTGCCTTAATAATCAAGACAATCTATTGTTTTAATTTTACGTTAAACATGTTTTAAAATTGGGGTTTCCTATTAAAAGTAGTCATTGGTTTTCAACTTTAGTAAATAATCACATTAAGTACAGTAGAAGTAATACAATTTTATTTAGTACAACTAAATTACTATACTATAACACTACTAAATCCTGTTCAGCCTGTTCAATAATTTTTTCTTTCCATGTTACTTTGTGATGCAAACTTATTTGTTCAGTAAAAGATTTATCTGTAAGAAATATTACTATTCAAACTATTCTTAAAACTAATATACTAATGTCAGAATAAATAGTTTTAAAAAGTTTAGTTACTTAACATGTGTTTTTCAGTTGTACCATCATGGCGAGAGTATTGCAGTGAACGTTCATATAGCAAACAATTCCAATAGAACGGTGAAGAAGATCAAAGTTTCAGGTAGTTTTTTTATTTGTCTTTAATTTTGTGACAAACATCAATAGAATTAATTTTTTAAATGGCATTTACTAAAATCTTGAATTTTGATACTGAAGTTGAAGTACCATCTGAAGTAACTGTTGACAATTTGTTATACAAGAAGAGCATATTTGAAAGAACCACTCATAGAGGGTGGTAACAGTCTGAAACGCTTCTATTTATTTGCCTGTGTTTTCTTTACTATGGTGGTTTATATAACATATAAAATCGGCTATAGCTTACAATAAGTTGACCTATTAGTTTGGTTTAGTTAAAAAGGTGGTGTAATCGATATAAGTCAGTACTTAACAATAACATCAGGTTGGTTGATGGCTCAGTCAATGACGTCACGTCCAATTGTTTAACTTTGACTTGCTGAAAAGATCATAGCCTAACCAGGATAAAATTAACGATGAATAAAGTCCTAACATTTTAGAAACTATTCACTTTTAGCACATACATATTTTCAAATCATTGTTAATTTTGAGAATGGCAATAGATTAACTCTCATATCTGAAAAAAACGTTGAATCAACTATTTTTAAAACAAACGTATATTAGTAACATTCAAGTCAGTATAGAAAAAAACCTGTTAACATTCCAAAACAACCAATATTTATTAATAGTAGTTGACTCAGCCCCCAATTATAATTCAAAAACTTAGTTTACCTATAATCTATAATATAGTAGAGGAAGAGTTTCAATTTTTAACTCACTGGTGAAAAACTATTTAAAATCTATCAGAAATTGCAAAGCCACAATTTTTTACCCCAGTTTGTAATCAAAACTAGATTCATACAAACACGTCAGAAAATAAAACTTATTCTACCAGATTTTATGACTGGCAGTTCTTGTTTGTCTGTATGCACATGTTATTTATTTACTGTAATTGTGTTTTCCAGTTCGCCAGTTTGCAGACATCTGCTTGTTCTCGACAGCTCAGTACAAGTGTACAGTAGCAGAAGCGGAGAGCGAGTGAGTTACTAGGATAGTCTTAATAAAATAAACAAAATAGTCTTACTATGAAAGAATTAGCGTTTGGAAGGAAAATGAAAATTTTGAAATAGGAAACCATGATCAGAAGTCAATCCTCTAAAGAAAGAAGTCCTTGACATAATAATGTTATAGTAACAGTCTCCTACTAATGATGTTTCTCACAAATTCAAACATTTCTAAAACTTTTTTTATTTAAAATATGTACGGTACAAAAATTAGAGAGGGTTTTCTAATTTTTAATTAAAAATATAAATATTTCTTACAACTGTTTTGATATTTTTTCGGAGTGTTCTGTATCAACGCAGATGATACAGACAAGATCTTTCAACATTTAAAAACTGTAATTAAGGATGTACTTATTGTGTTCATTTACCAAACAGTTGGTAACCTATGTACGGTAAAGTACTCCTAGCCATTTGATTTCCTATGATATGTTCAAATATGGCAGATTCAGTAGTGATTAACAATAGCTTTAATCTTTATCTTTGGGTTGCGTGGTATAGTGGTAGAACGCTGGACTCGGTCTCCGAGGTCCCGGGTTATAATCCTACTAAACAATGGATTTGATCAAAATGAATACCACTACCTCCTCTAGACCTAGCCTGAAGTAATGTGGAGACCAATTTAGGGTTAAAACCTAGAGGGGAAAAATCATTTTTGCCCCTAATATCTGTGCACTATGTGTTATTTGTATATTACAAGATAGTTGCAGTTGTAGTGGTGATTATGTTGCTGTTGTTGTTATTCAGAGCAGGGTGTCCGGTAGGACCGGGTTTCACTTTGTCTAAGGTTTACACAGTGACGCCAACATTGCAGAGCAACAAAGACAAGCGAGGGTTGGCACTGGACGGCCAGCTCAAACACGAGGATACCAACCTCGCGTCGTCGACAATGTGAGTTGTAACGTAGCCGCTAGCCGCTGTTGACGCCAGCATGTGGGACTAGAGAGGCGGTGGTTGGGTCTCTTCAGTGTGGGGCAAACTTAGCAGCAATGAAAAGTGTAAAATTATCGGTGAAACATTTCGGACCCCGATGGTGTGCTTCATTAACCACTAACAAAGAATGGGTACTAACTATGATGCAGGTCAAAATTAATTTTGGAGGTTATTCGTTAACTTTTTTTTAGAAAATATGTGGTGAATTAAAAGAAATCTTGTAAAAATAATTATTTTTGCAAATAAGACCCTGTAAAGGGGTTTTATGATTTTTTATATAGCAGCTGACTTTTCTCCAATGATGAGGCCTAAATGTAGATAAATATACACCAATACATTCCAATATTAGGATTCTTAAAAACTTGTTATGAAGAAAACAAAAAAGATGTAAGAAGTATTATTGTTTTCACTGGCAAAGGTTTTTAAAATTTTAAGTAATCAAAATCTTAGAACTTTTGATGTTTTTTTTTATAAACGCCTACATTGTTATCAATATCAACCAGCTGTTTCTTTAAATTAAAAGTTTGATTACTCAGTTTGTCCCACCTGAGAGTGGCCGCTGCGGTATTTGGCTTTTCGCACTAAGTAGTGACGTTCCAGTATTGTTTGTGGTGTGTTCTAGAGAGGGTTGCCCTATTGGTCCGGGATTCACTTTATCTAAGGTATTCACACTAACTCCTCTACTGGCCAATAACAAAGACAAGTGGGGCTTGGCGTTGGACGGTCAACTCAAACACGAGGACACCAACTTGGCGTCGAGCACGTTGTGAGTGGTGTTTGGTGTTAGACCCTTCGACATCACTTTGCATCTACAGTAGAGAGTCGATTATCCAAAACGATCGGAGATTAGGGGTGTTCAGATACTGATTTTCACGATAACCAACTGTTGACAGAAAAAATTTGATTAAATTAACTTTGATAACATTAAAATTTGTATTATATTTTCTAATGACAAATCTAAGATAATATTATATCTTTACTCTCAAACTAATATAAACGTTTTGTGATATAGTCACAGTTCTTTTTGATGCCAGATAACTCACAGCATTTCAACTTCCTTAGTCTGAGTTGAACTCGATTAATTTGCACATTTTTTTTTTGCTTCAATATCTTAAGTTTGTCTACAAACACATGTGTTTATGTTTAGACAATAAAGTCAGTTAGATTCAAAGACAACATAATTGCTTACAAACTGTCAAAGAAAAATACCCATAAATAACAGGAAATGAGTGAAAGTGGCGGGAACGGCCTCAACTCGAGGGTATTCATTGACCTAAGCATCACTTGAGCAGCGATCGCTCGCTGGTCTTGTGATTGGCACGTTTTAGATTTGTTGTTTCTTTCTCCCTTTTGGTTTACCGACATTTGAGATGACTGGGCTTTGGATAATCAATGCTCTACTGTGTAAATTTTGTCACCCTTTAACATCTTAGCGAGTCAAACAATAAAATCACATATGTTGAACCTTTAAATAAGTGCAAGAAATTAGGATAAATAGATCATTTCTGAAAGATAAAAACTGTGTGCAACTGTAGAGTATACCTCTAAACTAATGTAAATCAAAATATCCGTTTGATCCAAACTAGTAAAAACTTTTAACACAAAATTTAAATGGATTAGAAACCATAAAGAACCAAAAACTTCCTCGACAAATCTATTCAAATTAGCTAAAGGGAATATTTTTTTAATTATTCTAGTTTTCTGCTATATTGCCTATATACAGTGGTGTACTACAGTTATATTATAACTCTAAGGTATTATTTTAGTGAAATATTACCTAAGTCTTTATGCTTGCTTGTACCTGTAGAAATAGCAAATATTGTCAAACCATTTTCCTCGACTCCAACTGTTTTTATGGTAGCAGTGGTCTTAAAAGTAATTTCCTCTGTTTCATTGTCATATTTTCATTCTCAGATCTTACAATACTAACTTTCTCTTTACATTGTGATAGACCTGGGAAGCTTTGCTTTTAAAAACAAGTTTAACCATCATTAGTAAATTGGTTCAACTATGAAAAATTATGCAGTTCAGATGGTGCTAGAACAGATAAATAACTAGCTAAAATCAATAAATAATTAAAATGTAGTAATTTCTGTTCTTTTAATAAAAAATATGTAGGTATTATAATTACATCGTATCGTGGCAGTATGTTCAGGTATGGCCATCAATCTTGCCAGTAAAGTGGAGTTCAGTTAGGGTTAGGATTTATTAATAAAAATTTTTACTAAACGATTTTGGATTTAGTTAATAATTTCCTTTCTTACACGTCCATTAGAGTTGTAATTTGGTAATTTGCATGTCTTTGGGTTGAAGGTTCCAACAAATTGTTTGGATAAGGTTTTTAATAGTTGTGCATGGGTATACCATTAGAAATATGCATGGCGTGAAATGAAACAAGATGCTCACTTTTGTTAAAAATAGTTATAGTGAAGATTTAAAACATTAAACAATTCAAGATTAGACGTTTTTAAATGCTTATATGTTTATATTATTGATGGTTTGGATTGTAAAATGTAATTTGAGTGTTATTAATTACTTGCTTTGATTTTCAGAGTGGCAGATCCATCTCAGAAGGAAAACCTAGGCATTATTGTTCAGTATAAAGTGAAAGTAAAACTTTGCCTTGGCCCGCTGGGAGGGTAAGTTGAATATCTTTTGCCATAATACTTTATTTTTTTAAAGTGATTTAGTTTATAAGTTAGTTTTAGTGGTTTTCTAAAGTGATTTTGAAGAGTTTTCAGTTTTAATTTAATTGGATCAAATAAAAAATTCATTCAGAGAAAAAGTTGGATTAGGCCTACGGCTTTTAAATATAACTCTGTAAATATCAACAAGCTATTATTGGTTTGATTGACTCATTACATTTGATTGACATTATAAGCATTATTTTTTTTTTACTCAAAATTAAGCCTCTCATAAAGTTATCGTCTTAACACATTAGGTATCTTTTCAATAAATAGTACTGTAATACCCTCATAGCTTTAAGTTACAGTTAATATCGATGTAATTCATGTATTAATATACTTAGGGTTGAATTGAAACCTTTTTATATTATGTATAGGTACTGTAATGAAATCATCTTAGATATTTTAAATAGATTTAAAAAATAAAATCTAAATTATCCTTCCTCATAAACCTGTCACAATCAACAAGGAAAATATAGATAGGGTTAAGTTATCTAGGGGGATTAGAGTTCAAGGGCCTAGAAATACTCATGGGTATTTATTTATTCAACACAACTTTGACATTTTCCTCTAGTGAAGAATTTAATCAGAGGATAAATTTAAGACAAATGTCAGTTAGGTCTTTTTTAAGAACTCCTACTACAAGAACAAATTGTGTTGTGTAAAGTATCTTGAAGCCCCTAAACTCTTTGTTGTTTCAGGTAAGCAGGCTAAACTGTATTTTTCTATCTTGTTAAAAATTTACTTGACTTTTACATAAAATGTAACCAAAGTGGGTGATGCAGGGACCTTGTGGCTGAGTTGCCGTTTATCTTGATGCATCCCAAGCCAGAAGACGAGCCTTCGCTGCCTCCCACGGGGAGAGGTTCTCCCTCCAAGGCTTCCGGGGACAATGTTCCAGTTGACACCAACCTTATTCAGCTGGACACGTCAGTATTTATTCACTTCTACTATTGTTTAGATGGGTCCAAGTTTAAGTATGTAAATCTCCATTCAGCCCCAGGCGATATGATTTGAGAAAGTATGGGTTATAGTGTTTGCCTACCATTTGGTAATTGCTGGGGTCTTGAGGATCTGAAGCTTTTTGATTCTAAAAAAAGCTAAAATTTTAAGCCATTCTATGTTTTAATTTCATTACATACAAATAGTAATGTTTCTCACTGAGTAATATTGGGGGTTTTGTAAAGTATACTAGGTAACAAAACCTGCAAATTCTCAATCATCAGAATCATTAGTGTTTACAATGCTTGTGAAACACCATCATAGCATGTTTCTCAATGAACTGTAGCTGCTATGATGGTCTTATTTCGGACAGTGATGCACTAAAATGTGTAATTTAAAAACAATTATTTAAGGTTTAATGGTTTATTAAAATTTTTGCTAAAAAAAATTTGTGATTGAAGTTTATCAATTTGCAGAGATGCGAGCGCTGGAGACGGTGATGATGATATTATCTTCGAGGACTTTGCACGGCTCCGTCTCAAGGCTGGGGAAAGTGACGCCTGAGGGAGTGCGGTGGGACTACGTGTCCTACGCACTCACATCTACGTCACCTGCGAATAGCCAGAGTATTAGTAAAGAAATATTTAATGTACAATTTATAGCTTGTATTCTAATTTATACTCGATTGAACGTTTTAAGAGAGAGCATAATTTATATATATATATATTTCAGGGTAAGATGTATACTACGAGTCGTGTACCAACTATTCCACTGAGGTTTTTTTGATTATCGTAACTACTTCGTGTTGTGTTTTTCGAGAGACGGTGCTTGTGATATATTTTGTACTACGGTCTTGATTGTATTTTTTTTCTTCCATCTGTTTTATAGATCCGCTGAGCGGTTTTTTATGCATTTTATAAATAGTTCCTCATTTTGAGGCTGGGTTTGAAACCCACCAAGCAGAAATCTTGTTGGCACAAATGAGAAAGAGGTGCAAAATGTATATTTTATTTGTATCAGGTGCAGGTCAACTTCCGAATTTTTTATACTCAAAATATGGATGACTACTTAACTGATGAAAAGTGCGGTTTTGTGTAGCTTTGACCCTTGTGTCATTCCTGTCCTTGTTTTATGGATTTATTCCTCTACTAAAGGTATGTTTCCCTTGCTAATTGAGTCAAGGACATGAGCTGAGTGTAAATCAGTTAAAGGCCTGTCCAAGACACATATCCCAAATGTTCCAGGGATCTTGTATAAAAGGAAACATACCTAAGTTATCATTTTTGATATTCTTAAATATGCATTTGTATATCTCAAAAAAGCCTGAAACGTCCAGTTAGTCTAATCCTATCCCTATGAAAATATTCATTTTGATCTGTATTCATTTTACAATTTATATACTCAAGTCGACAAAGATGAATGAATGTATAACATAAAAAATAGAATCGTCTTTTAATTTTTGCTTGAAATTTGTTAAGTTTTATTTTGTTGTAAAAAATGGCTATTGTATCTGTATAAGAATATTCGTCTATATGAATTGAATTACTGAATGTAAATATAAGTGTAAAGCTGAATATAAAATTAATCTAATGAAAATAATAATTTTTGTAAGACTTTGTACACAGTGTTTGTAAATTTATTCTGTCATGTTATCAGATTAGTATTTCTCTGTGCTTTGAATCAACCATAGTTTTTCACTGCTTCTCTGTTTGTACCATCCATGAACTGAAATGTAAGCTCCCAAATGATATGGTCTTCGTGTCTCACAACTTTAACCTTGATGAAATAAAATTAGCTAAGTATCGAACATTCACTTTAAAACAGTTCATGAATGTTTATTGGATTGTGCCAAGTAATAAAATTCCTTTTTGGCTGCAACACTGAGCTAGAAAAGAACACTTTTGACTGACTAAACATGATAGATGTTATGGTACGAACAGTGTGAAGTAACTTAAATATTTTATGTTTGCTATCTCAAAAATGTACAAGAGTTCAAATTATACCCCATCCTTTAGGTCTACTGTCAACTCAAAAATATATTAAAGTTATAACCTTGAAATTGAATTTGGTCGAATTTTATTGCCAGTAGACTAAAACGCAAAATTGTGGATGACAATTTTGTTTGTCATAATCCACTATCTCAGGGCCATTTTATGCTAATGTTTTCTTGTGTAAAAACATTTTGGTCATCAGAGTCAATATTGAAATCCATGCATGTATATTCGTGCTCTATTTATGCACAATAAAAAAAACCTTTCATTGCATTTGAAATTTAGGAAATTTAGTAAAATTACAATGTTATGTATGCCCTACTCATTTTGAGATAGCAATTCAATACGTTATACTTTCTATCTACATTTACTGTTTTTATTTAATGTTTGTATAACTAACGTCAGTGTGCTCAATACCGTATTGCACTTTTCTAGTTGTTATGCCAAAGCGTTCTGTTCATTCTACAACTAATCATTCCAGTGTCAGTTTTCCATTCACGTTTTTGTGAAATTTTGTTTAAAAGTAACTTTTTTTCAGCATTTCAAAAGGTATTATTTAGTAAATGTTTTGTCGGACCGCTACTTTGCTATATGGTTTAGTGTGTCAAAAGCTTAATTTATGTATCGTGATGTAATTTACAAGATTTATTATCGTTTCACTTATTTAAATATTAAGGCACAAATATTGTACCCATTCTCAGGTTATATCTGTTTCAAAGGACAAAGGAAGCCTGACATCTAAAGAATTGACAGTACAAATTAGAATAGAACAGAAGAAACAGAAATGCGAAGAACTGCGTACACCACTATAAATGTTATTGTGTATTGTCTTTATTGTTGTTGGCAACGATGTCCAATAAATCAGATGTGACCATCCTCTGCAAGCCTTTCTATGACACCTGTGTTATAAAATAACTTCTTGTTTTGCCTGTCATGTAGGCATAACCAAACTAATAAGTTTCTATTATCGCATAACACAATATAATCAAAAATGGCATAGTTAAAATACTGTAGTTTCGGACTGTTATAGTCTTTAATAGTTTTTTAGAAAGAAAATTAGTAAAGAGACCGCAGATCCAAAGCCTCAATTAAAAACAGAATTCGTCTCAGTTGAATATGGAGAAAAAATCACCCACACTTTAAAAAATGAATTGAAAAAACACGGAAAAACTGTGGCGTTTAGAACATCTAATAAAGTCCAAAATCTTCTTAAACCTAGAGCCCAACAAAACCTGAGTGATAAATCCGGAGTGTACAAAATAACATGCAGTGACTGTAATAAATTCTATATTGGACAGACTGGCAGACCATTTATTAAGAGGTTCAAAGAACACCTTCCCAAAAATAGTTTTAACACAACAATCCAATTTTGCCGAACACCTAATTGACAGCAATCACAGTTATTCCAGCCTGAATGAAAATTTAAAACCTTTACACATTTGTAGAAAAAGTCGAGTAATGACATCACTAGAACAATATGAAATTTATAGTGCATCTAAAACAACCCCCCATAGCCTCCTGAATGATAAAAGCACACTACAATCCAACATATTATTCGAAGCATCGTTAAAGTTGAATGAAACGCCACCTGTAGCTACAAAGGACAGAGACAGGACAAAGGTCAACACTGCAAGTAACGTATGACCCCAGTCGAGACTCGACACACGACCGACGCGCGTCTACATGTCCGTCATAGCTCAAATAAAAGTAGGCCTACCGTGTATTTTTATGTTTTAATCGTGATGTATTTAAGTGTAAAGTTCGTGTACGTGTTTCAAAACTTCAAGACGCACCCAATGGGGAAGATCAAGAACTTATATTAGGACTGATGATGGCAATTTATTCTGCCGAAATGCATCTCCTGTAATAGGACACAGCAATATTAGGATCGACCGGCGGACACAGGTAATTTAACCTTTTATTGAATGTTATAGTCCATCTTAGGTGAGACGGTGGCTCAGTCAGTAGCGCTACGGACTTCAAGCCCAAGGCAGGGGTGTTCTGGGTTTTGATCCTGGTACCTGTCACCATGGTGTAACTAACTAACCAGTGCCAATGCAACAATGGAAAATGTTTAACAACAAAGTATGTTAACTCCCTGCAGCTTACCGAAAATAAATGTAAAATACTCCCGCCGCAGCAAACCTGCTGTCTAAGCGAATTTCCAATTGTCTGAATAGATTTTCAATTAAATCTATTTAAATAACATTAGGTTTAACGAGTATCTAGGTTTGCTGCTACAAAGTAACTAATAAAGTGTTTTTTTAGTAAAGTATTAATAGCTTAGTATGATATAAATAAATTTGCCAAGTTTTATCAAAATATATCCATAAACAAGCAAACTACAACAATTTACAATATTCTCCATAAGAATATCATGGGAATTTTAAATTTACAATTTTTTTTAATTTTCTCCGTTACCAACTACCATAAAAAAAAACGTTGATATACTAAATTATTTGTTTTTTAAGCTCTTTAAAATGCTTTAGAGAGAAATTGGGAAATTTTATGTTTTAAGAGTCAAAATTTAGAAAACCCAATTTGCACAGCACATTGCAGTGAGAAGACACATTGGAAAAAGCGAGTTGAGCATAATCTATAAACCTTAGTTACAATCACCCACTGCAGTTGTCACTTTACACAACCGCCATTGAAGTGCTGTCAATGAGTTGAAACCTTATTTTGTAAACTATTAGTAACGCTTGTTTAAAAAATGTAAGTTTCCCTTGTTGTAAGTTGTATGAGTTCACTTCCATTTTAAAGTTTAGATTTGCAAGTTTTCTTGCAAGTAGAAAGCTAATAATACTTGCGCAAGCTCTATATGCTAGTGTAAACGGGGCTTAACAACGACATTTCTCCGTACTTCCACACTTCCTGGATACTATTTCACTACAAGCTCTATAGAATTAGAGAAAGATTATTCAAAGAAATATAATTTATTATATACAGTAATTTTAAGTTAATAATACAAAAAAAATATATATTTTTCACAAATTAATTAAAAGTAAAATTAAGTTACTAAACCTTTTCAAATACCATTAACATAACTGAAGTACGGATTACATAACTAATATGATGCCTTTCATTCTGTGTTTTCTTATGCATTTGAAACAACTTTTCCTAAATTATTAAGGGCTGAAAAAATTAATAACAATAAAAATGCTTGGATTTCCTATGATATAAAACATAAAAAAGGATATATAGCGGATTTGGAAAAGCAATACAGAAATCTAAAAACGGATTCCCTAAAACATAGAGTCACACAGTTAAAAAAAGAACTGAAATTCCAAATATTAAACGAGATAAAACAATATTTTGACAGAAAAATATCTGATTCAACCAACAAGTCTAAATCAACATGGAAAATTATCAATTCTGAGATTAACAACAAAACAAAACAAGTAAAGAACATTAAAGTAGTATTAAATGGCAAGTGTGAATCGGACCCCACATGTGTAGGAAACATATTCAATGATTTCTTCACAAACCTTGTGGAAGATCAAGTTCTTCCTAATATTAACATAAATACAACTTCACAATCAAACTTAATAAATTTACAAAAGCCTAAGAGTAGTTTCAAATTTAAAGAAGTCAATGAAAATGATATTGAAAAGATAGTTAAATTACTTAAAAATAAATTTTCAACAGAAGTAGATGATATTCCAATTACCCTTGTTAAGCGTGTTTTCCCAATTATTTCAAGACCATTAACACACATTATTAATTCATCTTTAATTAGCAGTATCTTTCCTTCTAAACTAAAAATTGCTAAAATAATACCGGTCTTTAAAAAGGGGGATGCCAATGATCCTTCTAGTTACAGACCAATATCATTGCTACCAGTTTTTTTTTTAAAAATCCTTGAAAAAGTTGTATACAACCAGTTGTTGGATTTTTTGGAATCAAACCAGTTGCTGGATCAAGAGCAATATGGTTTTCGACCAGGAAGATCCACAACCACTGCTAGCATTAACTTCATTGAATCAGTTATCAACTCAATTAACAACAATGAAAAAGTTGTTGGAATATTTTTGGATTTTTTTAAAGCTTTTGATAGTGTCTCACATGATAAATTACTTGAAATTCTTCATGGCCTAAACATAAATAATAAAGAATATAATTGGTTCAGATCATATTTAAACAATCGGAAACAATGTGTTCAAATTCGACATACCTCATACTATCCAAATTGCAAATATGCATACACCCAAAATGTCTTGTCCAACTTTAAAACAGTAAAGTATGGTGTCCCACAGGGATCTATACTGGGTCCCTTGTTGTTTCTTTGCTACATAAGGGGGTTTCCAGGAGTTGTAAATGCTGGAGGATCTGTATGTCTGTATGCAGATGATACAAACATAACAATTACAGGTAAATCTCAAGAAGAAGTGGAACTAAAGTCTTTTTTAAATTTATTGTCAGTAAATGAATTCACAAATAACAAAAATCTACTAATAAATTAAAATAAAATCAAATATTTTATCTTTCTCCACAAGGCAATCAAGATTAAAATTACAACCAGATATATATCTTAATGGTTCAAAATTAAATCAAGTGGAGCACACTAAATTCCTTGGTCTAATATTAGACCAGCATTTAACCTGGGATGAGCATGTGAAACACGTGGTAAAAAAATCTACAGCTGGTATTTATGCTTTGCGACAAATGTCCCGTGTCTCAAGCATTGAACCTCTTAAAACTATTTATTTTGCTTTAATAAATTCACATATAGCTTATGGAATAGCTTTATATGGTGGTACCACAAAAAAAAACCTAGACAAAATTCTACGTCAACAGGAAAAAGCTCTTAGAATTATCTTTAGTATAAAAAACAGAGAATCAGTAAAAAAATATTTTTCTAAATTGGGTATAATGACCATCTATGATTTATACATTTTTGAAACTATTCTACATGTAAAAAGTTCAAATTATCAAACTAAAAATTTCCACAGTTACAATTTACGAAACACCAGGCATGTAGAACAACACAGATTGAAGTTATTTGAGAAAAAAAACCAGTTTCATTGGCAAAAAATTTTTATTTAGCCTACTCAAAAATATTTTCAATGAACATAATTACAGTAGCTTTAAAAAACTACTGAAAAACTATTTGCAATCTAAATCATTATATTCAATAGAAGAGTTTTGGAATTTAAATGATTAGAAATAATATGTTATGTTATGATTTATGTTTGTAATCTATTATTTAGGATCCTTGTATACCTAATTTTTTGCTTATCTTTTCCTTTCTGTGACGCAATTCATGTATTTGCTGTAAAATACTTGATGAATAAAAAGATGATTTGTATTGTATTGTATTGTAACTAATTAAAATTAATTAAAGTACTTTTTAGGACAATAAAAATATAGACTACTTCTTACTTTACTTAACATTTTATATTTATTCACGGCCCTATACATGATATCACAAGCTGCAATATAATGTCCATGTTCCGTTTCTCAAAATGTTATTAATTCTTACATTCTTACAGTCAGAGCTGAGGCCAGTGGCGGTTCCAAGGGGGGGGGGGGGGGGCTACAGGGGCTAAAGCCCCCCCTTGGACCCTGGAAATTGTTATTTGTGTAACTAGTGGGCAAAGTGGCACAGTGCTGTAACAATTGGATGATTTATTCGTTGTGCTATTGTCCACAAAGTTGATCTACTACCCCTGCCATCTCTTATTGATAAAAACTACATTGATGTCTGTTTTATGACATTGCGTGTTTTAAGGACAAAATGTACGTTTAAATTTATTTTTCCAGGGTCCAAGGGGAGGCAAGCCCCTGTAGCCCCCCCCCCCCCCCTTGGAACCGCCACAGGCCTCAGCTCTTTGACTGTAAGAGTGTAAGAATAAGCTAAAGACGGTCACTAGAAACCGTAGGGGCTTTGTCAGGGAATAGGAATTAACGTACAGTGTTGTAACTAAGAGCTGCCTCAGCTCTTTGACTGTAAGAATGTAAGAATGAGCTAAAGACGGTCACTAGAAACCGTAGGGGCTTTGTCAGGGAATAGGAATTAACGTACAGTGTTGTAACTATGAGCTGCCTCAGCTCTTTGACTGTAAGAATGTAAGAATGAGCTAAAGACGGTCACCAGAAACCGTAGGGGCTTTGTCAGGGAATAGGAATTAACGTACAGTGTTGTAACTATGAGCTGCCTCAGCTCTTTGACTGTAAGAATGTAAGAATTAATAACATTTTGAGAAACGGAACATGGACATTATATTGCAGCTTGTGATATCATGTATAGGTACCCTATAGGGCCGTGAATAAATATAAGTAAAGTAAGAAGTAGTTTATATTTTTATTGTCCTAAAAAGTACATGAATTAATTTAATTGGTTATGTAATCCGTACTTCAGTTATGTTAATGGTGTTTGAAAAGGTTTAGTAACCTAATTTCACTTTTAATTAATTTGTTAAACATATTTTTTTTAATTATTAACTTAAAATTGCTGTATCTAATAAATTATATTTCTTTGAATCATCTTTCTCTAATTCTATAGAGCTTGTACAACGTCGTGTGTAGTGAAATAGTATCCAGGAAGTGTGGAAGTACGGAGAAATGTCGTTGTTAAGCCCCGTTTACACTAGCATATAGAGCTTGCGCAAGTATTATTAGCTTTCTACTTGCAAGAAAACTTGCAAATCTAAACTTTAAAATGGAAGTGAACTCATACAACTTACAACAAGGGAAACTTACATTTTTAAATAAGCGTTACTAATAGTTTACAATATAAGGTTTCAACTCATTGATAGCCCAAGCAAATTAGGAAAAATAGAGGAACAAGGGAGTTAAAAGTGGTTTTCTGATTAACGTTTTTCGCAACTTTGCGCCCCCACCCCTATGTTGTTGACCACCCCTGGAGGCGACGACATGGGTTTTTACACTCACCTAGGTCCCCATTACCAAAATCAAAAGTCAAAATCTTTGACTCTTTTCATGCATACTCAACTGCACCTAAGCGTCTGTACTAAGAGGCTTACGGATTATGCTCAACTCGCTTTTCCAATGTGTCTTCTCACCGCAATGTGCTGCAATCGCTGGACCATAGAGCCTTGGGTTTGTAGGCCTAAACAATTATTCATAACTAAATTTCGATGACGATCCTTGATACCAGTACATTTACCTACAATACGTAACTACTTAGGAAACAAATTTAAAAACGCTCAAAACCCCAACATTGTGTGATTTTTTCACATTTCCTTCTAGAATCAATCAATCAAGAATCAAGAATTTTTATTCATCGTTAACGCTATGTACAACACATGCAATGGATGAACGTCATAATAGTAGCCTAAAGTTTACAGGCAATAAGGCTAAATAAATATAGACAATAAAATATAAACAAGTGCAGAGTACATGCAAAAAGTATCACAGTCATCTTAAAAATAAAATACTGAAGTTTATAAAAAACATAGGTATGCAAAGACTAGAGCAAACATGAAAACAGGTGCAATGTGTATACAATAAATGCAGTGTGTTTAAAATAAGTTAGAAAAAAAACATAGCAGGGGCAAGAAAAGAGTATAAAATTTAAAGACAATACTAACAAACAGACAGATAAATAACTTATAAAACAACTCAGCCCTTGGCTATATCACAGACAGACAGAATTTAAAATTGAATATCAACAGGCAATACAAAGAATTCATCGAGCTTGTAAAATGGCCTTGCAACCAACCAATTGTAAACAGACAACTTAAACTTAGTGAAAGATACATTATGTGCAGAAACAGGCAACTTATTAAATAGATTAATGTACATAGTGCGATGCTGGGATTGTGATTTACTCAAACGAACATAAGGCTGATTGAGTGAGGACATGCTTCTAGTGCAATAACCATGCACACTACTTCTGAGTGGATACTCATGCAGATGTTGCTTAACATGCAACAGGCAAACATAAATATACTGGTTAATCACTGTCAAAATTCCTTCGCTGACAAAGAGTGGTTTACAGTGTGCTTTAAAAGCTGAGTGTGTGATTATACGCATCGCCTTTTTTTGTAAGCGCAAGACTTTATCAATACTGTGGCCATTCCCCCACAGACGAATGCCATAAGAAATTATTCCATTAAACAAAGCATAATACACATTTTTCAGGTACACTTTAGGGATCAGCTTCTTTAAATGCCACAAAAGAGAAATCACTCTAGATAGTCTGGTACAAACATTCTGTATGTGAGAATCCCATGTAAGTTTGGTGTCAACAGTAATACCTAAGAGCTTAACGACAGAATCTACAACTACATCAGATTGAACATCAAACTGGCACAAGGAAAAACATATTTGTTGAGTTTTATTGGTATTCAAAAGGAGGCCATTTGCTTCAAACCAGATTGTGCCATCTGCCATCACATCAGACATAATGTTACAGAGCTCAGCTTCTAATGTTTACTAGATATACCAAACATGGTTTATAGATCTTCAAGAAGAACTGGTAACATTTGGATGAATATACCTTGGTGAAGTTTTTATTTCAAATGTATATGGTTTATAGAATGCATCTTCTATTTAGTAACAAAAAGTTGTTGGGATAAGGTTGTTTTTCAAACTGTCACCGATTTGTTTATATTAAAAGTTGTTTACAAATAATGCAATTAATGGGAAATAACTTTGATTTTCGATAACTTTTTGTGAGAAAATCCAAAACCAAGAGAGATAAATAACATCGGGACTTGATTTACGCATTAAGTTGGTCGGATGTACAAATTAGTTATTGTTGGTGTTGCACCTTATTTGTTGCAGTTGTATTCAATTTAATTGATGTCTTACTGTATAAATTTGCTTTATCTGTCTGGATTCCAAAATGTTAGTTTGTGCTAAGATAATGAAAACGCATGGTGAGCAAACCATCAAGAATTGTTTACGCTTTACGTTGTTTATGAATCAACAATTTAGTGGCCTGTGTGTTGTAAATTACTAAACTAAATCGTATTTAGTACTTCATTTCATATAGTAAGCCGTCATTTCGACATCATTTTTTTGTGTCATCTTCGGACTAAGCAAATATAAATTGTTATGATTATGTTTGGTGACACTAAAGTATATGTACTTTGCTTTGGTTAAATCGTAGCAAATTCCCTAATTAAATTCTGTATTTTTGTGGGTATATATGTTGGTAGCGCATATTTCTCAGTGTTCCGTACGGACACGACAAGAGCACATTTGATAGTGAAAATTTCAACCGGAATGTTTAATGGTGAGGTTGAGGTAGTATTTTAACTACTTTTTACCATTGTGGAAAGTAGCTTTCAATTATAGGCATACTTAAGGGCTATGCCACATAGACCTATAAAGCATTTTTTTTACTTGAAACTTTCAGATACTGTATTTGTTTATATAATAGTTTGGCCAGCATATCTAAAAATAAGCAAACCAACTGCTGTTCTTTACGTGCGTAGAACGGTCACACAGCTAGTGACCGCTGAAACTAACATAATAACTAACAAAAAAACTAACAATAATAAATTTGTTTTTTTCAAATATAAACATTAATCTATTGTTAGGTATATTAAAAAATTCACGTATTTTACAAAATGGACTGACTTTTAAGCAAGTTCTCCTTGCAAAGGTAAGTGTAGTGTAAACCTTTACTTGAATGCAAGTATAGTTTGCATCAACTTGCAAGTCCTACATGCTAGTGTAAACGAGGCTTTAGTTTCATTGGAGGTTATAGGGGGGGGGAAATGATTCTACGAATAGGGGCGCACGAGGAATGCTTGCATTTTGGCACAGTCAGACTAGTACGTCACTGCCTGTCACTACTTTTTATCAAACAGACAGTTTACCCTTGTACTGTACCGACTCACACTTTACTTTGAAATGGTTTAATGATTTCAGTTTTTCACTTTTTGGTTGTGCATAGGTTGAGAAGAGGACAAAACCACTTGATTTGGATAAGCTAAACCTCAACCCTGGATTAAAAGTGGAATTTTCAAATGCCCTCAATTTTATATTAAAAGGTTCTACTGTAATAGACTTAAAACTGAATATAATCAGTGAAAGTTAAACCTGTTTTTGTGTTGAGTAGGGTATAACATACAATAAAATAGTTATTAAAAATAGTAAAAACTATTTATTTTTAAACTTTCTCGTAGATCTTTTGTAATCAAACAAAAATAATATATCAATAAAAATATAAAAGTAAATAACAGAAAATAATACTCTTTCTTTAGTAATAATTTAGTGATTGTCAGCTAATGTTTGTTGTAGATACAGTAATACATTGTACAGGTTTTGTGAATTGTGTATTGCTGTATTTTGATTACTACTACAACAATATTATAATGATGACTATAGTGATTTTATAATTTTTCATTTTAATCAAGAAATTTGTAGATTCGTTACTTTTTCCTATCGCCTAGTTTTGCATTAGGCAGAAAATATTGAGAAGGCTAAAACATGTGTATTTGAGACTGACTCTTCCTAAAGATTAGCACCAACATTTTATAGTTCTTAACCAAATACAAGAATTCTCTGGGTTGACACTGTAAGTTACAAGTTACGTTTTAAAAAATAGGAAGCAGTAGTTACACATACTTCAACAGAAAGTAATATGTTTTTATCAAAATAAAGTTTAACTTTAAAAGTTTCAATATTTCTGAAAATTACCTTGGGCCAAAAAAATGTTTTCTGATACAAAATGATTTAAACTTGTAGTTAATTTAAAATTAAATGCTGTTTGAAACCCATTCATTGATCTGTTAGAATATACAATATATATAACTACCATCATCCGTAAAAAACTACAACAATGAAATGCTTTTGAGCATACTTTAGAGCTACAGAACCTCGCTAATCCGTCACCTACGGAACCGTAGCATGGTCTGAACAGCAAAAAGGTCAGATTATCAGAGGAACGCATTTATTGACATAAAAACATAGTAAAACTGTATTTTGAACGGACAATGGAGACAGTAACAAACTGTAAATCATGGTTAATCCAACATGACATAAAACAGTCATTACTAACTTATAAACAACGCCTAAAACTGTATAAATATACTTTAACACGTTCGCTGCGGCCCATCAAACACCGCAGGTGTAACCCGGTCTGACTAATAGCAAATAAGGTGAGGACGACGAGAGTCGACGTAGTTCAATAAAGCACCCACAGATAGCAGCACTGCTTGTAATGTAGCCGGTCACATTGTATTGCCGATTGGAGGGAGAAAGACTGGACAACAAGTTGATTGCTTGCCAGATGGGGAAATTCATCCACCTGTTCCAACAAGTTACCATGGTTACTATACTAATCACCCAATCGCAGGCTACTAAAGTTGTCATGGTTACCAAATACCCAGTCACAAAATGTTGTGACATAGCAAGCACACAGCAGACAGATGTGAGGGCTTAAAGAGCAGACGATTTCAGTGCAAACGACAGCTTGACCTTGAAACTCTGACAAAATTTTTTGTTTTGCTTCCATTTTATTTTTGTCAAATGCCTGTGATTTTTCAAAAACAATAATGTGTGAGCGTACTGCGTATAATTGATAGGAATAGTTTAATATACAATGAATTTCAACACATTACCCTAAAGAAACACAATTTATAAAATTTTCTTGGGATTTTTCATGGATAATGAGGTTATGTTAGCGGAAGCTTATTGTGTCGGCAGCACGGTCGGACCAAGCGAGGAGTCCGACCATCCGAGGTCGGATTAGTGAGGTTCTACTGTATATAAATAAATAATAAATATTTCAAACTTAAGCCCTCCATACACAGTCTGACATGTCTGGTCCGCGGTCTGTCTGTCAAGTCTGGCTGTTACCACACACGATCCGACTAGCGTTCCGACAGCATAATCTTTGTGTAGCTTCCATTGTATTCTGTCAGCATCGGGCCCGTCACTTCAGTTTGAGACAGAATGGCTGTAAGAAGTACGCAGACCAAGTCGGTTGAGCCCATAAGCGGTCGGAGTCGGATGAGTCGGCAGACATATCGGATCGTGTCTGGGGGGCTATAGTCATGAAATGAATCTATAAGTCCCAGTCATTGTTGTCAGATTTCAACGTAGAGAAAAGTACATCCTTTGGCTTTGGCCGAGGGTCTTCTGTGATGTCCGTTTTGAAGGCCCCAGTTTGTCCAAGAAGATATTCCAGTTCTGAAAAAAATTATATTTTGGAATATATTTATTTTTTCAAATCAACTTTCAGATATTCCATTTATTTGCTAAAAGACATAAAGGTGACCTTTAAGTTTTGTCAATCGTAAGGTAATGTAAAGGCCGTGTAAAGGATCGTGGGACACAATGATGGTGTCAACACCATTGCGAGACATGTTTAGGACAATTTTGCCGCGATGATAGCATCTGCCTTTTTTAATAAAAATTCTTATTACCGTGGTTTTAAATTTTTAAATTATTTCTATAAGCAATTCGGATAGTTAGAGTTTGGATAATCAGAGTTCTACTGTAGGATTACTGAGAATATCATATTATTTTTGTAATGTCTGAACCGTTAGAACGAGAAAGTGAAATAACACTGATTGGGTCTGTCCTATTAACAGCGACTGGGTGAAATGTAAATTTATAAAGGCAAATTTATGTCTCTGATCTGATCCAAATCAAAGCAGTTATCTGGCTTGAGGAGTTGACCTAACCTCCTAGATAGTATTTGTGAAGGGTAATAATTGTTCAAAAGACTCAATGTATGAGTTCAGCCCCGAAGTAACATGATCAGGAACCTTTCTTGAATAAGTCCCGACTTACTTCCCCATCTCAATGATTGATAATTGAATTGATACTTACCAGGCACTTTCCCTTTGGCACAGAAATTGATACCACATATTTTAAATGTTGGAAACTGGTTTTAACACTTTATATGTTTTATTGTACCTTCAATAGAGATATCAGCTCTTCTAAACGATGCTGGGCCAATCAGTTGTGCCTTCATATCTCCTTCAAAATAGACGAAGATGGTGGGTAAGTTCCTATCAGGATAGTTGGGCACACAAGTTGTAGATATACTCTTCAAAAACTTGGTTGCTTTGAACTTTGTCGCCAATTCGCTCAAGTGTTGGTTTATGAGTGCACACAGGGGAATCCTGCAATACAAAAAATAATTGGGATGGTTTTTGTTTAACATTTGATCAGGAAAATAATTACCTTTAAAAATTAGTTAGCTTACACAAGTAAATATAAAATCACTAGCTGGCCCGACAGACGTCGTCCTGTCCTATGTGGTTTTATGTCAAATGCTCGTTCATTTTCAAGATGAGCTCGTTCGCTTGGCTCAATGACGTCCTGGTCGAATTTTGTTCGCTACGCTCACTCACCTTTAGGTAGGAGCTCGTTCGCTGCGCTCACTTGCCTTCAGGTTAGCTCGTTCGCTACGCTAACTCGCCTCCAGGTTGAAGTTCGTTCGGTACGCTCACTCACCTTTTGGTTGCAAATTAGCAATTGTCATAAAATAAAAAAGAAAATAATAGTGCTGTACCCTATTGGTAAACCTATTAACTTTTTAATGCTATTGAACATCACAGAATCAAATTGTTTAGTTGAACTGGCTGTTAAGATTCTTTAATTCCATTTAAATATGAGTTCTCATAAGGTTAACATGGGAAACTCCAGAGCCACTGGGGCGGAGCCCTTTTGACGGATCTGCACCAAACTTCACACAAACCATCCTTGAATAATGCTTAATAATGCCTGAAAGTTTCATTACAATCTGTCGAGTGGTTTCGGAGTCCATAAAGGACAAACAAACAAACATACATTGGATTTTATATATATAGATTATCCTGGGTTTGTCTGGGTAGCCGGGTGGTTTTAGTGTTTGTATTAAACTTTGAACGAAGGTCGCTGGTCCAATTTCAAGCAAGATTAATACATCATACAGATACCATTTTTAATTTTTTGTCATTGGCAGGGCCTCTTTAATAAATGGGCCTGGTGGGCCCGGTTGCAGGAGATTTCAGGTGTGTTGGGGATGCAAGGACAATTAAATTCCTCTACAATGTAGGGTGGAGAGAGGCGCAAGTATCTCTTGAGCCCACAGCGCATCACATTCAAACAGCGGCTGGTCGTTGGGCTATTAATCATTTGTGCTATCTAACTTACAAATGTTCAAAGTTAGATATAGGAATAACAAGACTGCTTGTTCCTTTACAAAAAATGTTAGATGCAAATAGCGTCACAGATGAACAAAAAACAAATTGTACTTAAAATACGGGGTGTTTTTAAAAGAATGTCGGGATTTTAAACGGTCGTTGCTCGGGGACTATTTAAGATAATTAAACAACTTAAACGTCAAATTGAAGGGAAAAGAATAAAGTTTTTTTCTCATTCTTTCATACAATTCGGAATGATTGATTAAATTCAAATTTTAATCAATCTTATATGAGCGTAAAACTGGCAAAGTCTGTACGCGTAGGGCGATCGGCAGATCTGATATCTTTCCATCTTTCTGATGGATTAAGGATCTGATATCTTAACTGAATCTTTTTCGGCACAAAGGCTCTAGATTTTATAGATAACATCATAGAGTAACCAATTTAGGTTCGTTAAACTGAAGACTTCGTCGGGTAATCGATTTTTTCGGGCTTCTGATGCAGAATTGTCGGATTTCTTCGACTATGTCATCGCTTGTTTTTAGCCGGCCAGGTGAATGTCTTTTCAAAACATTTTGGTGCCACAAAACTCATTAAACCAGCTTCAAGTTTCTTTATCATCAAGTAGATTTAAATTTAGTTTAATTTAGCAATGGATATAAACTCTGCGAACTACAGATTACAATCTGTGCCTTCTGTTGCGCCGTAAATGTCGTACTGGCGACTGGCGTATGAGCCACAATAGCGGCCTGTGACCCCGTACCTGTTTTACGCATACCAAGGTCAAAGTTTCCTCCCTTGCTACAAGGGAAACAAAACTTAGTTATTTTAGCTTCAATTTGACAAATAAAACGTTTAGTTACCTTGAATAGTATCCAAGCAATTACCATTTAAAATCCCGGCATTCTTTTAAAAACACCCTGTATTAAGGGATACCTAGTTATATGGTTTTAAAAACAATAATCTTCATTCTTCAGTTTTTAGTGAGTTTTCAAAGTAAAATATTTAAAGGGTTTCAACATGTAGAAGAACATTTCCAACAATTATAGGGCCCTAACTTTGTCTGTGTTCATCATGATTGATTTGTAGCAAACGGATTGATGTTTGAATTAACAATTGTAACTTACGTCAATCAATCCAGTTGTGTATTGGAGGGACGTACGTTTCGACCTTTAGGCCATCTTCAGCCCCGCTGTTACACTAAGTTCAATCCTTAGTTGCATTGTTGGTATAGCAACCGCGTCAAATATTTACAATTAAGAACATAAAAAACACGAAAACACGACATTGACGAAGACGAACACATATTAACAAAACTATCACCGTGCGCACGGCTGAACGGGCTCGGGACTGCGGCGGCAAACTGAATCTGCAGGGGCAAACTGAGTGCCGCCGCAGTCCCGAGCCCGTTCAGCCGTGCGCACGGTGATAGTTTTGTTAATATGTGTTCGTCTTCGTCAATGTCGTGTTTTCGTGTTTTTTATGTTCTTAATTGTAAATATTTGACGCGGTTGCTATACCAACAATGCAACTAAGGATTGAACTTAGTGTAACAGCGGGGCTGAAGATGGCCTAAAGGTCGAAACGTACGTCCCTCCAATACACAACTGGATTGATTGACGTAAGTTACAATTGTTAATTTGTCTGTGTAAATAAAAAATATTTCATTTCATTTCTACGTTCAAAGTTTCTGAAACTTCAATAGACATACATTTAACCTCAAAAGGCTTTTATCAGTACTGACCCTTGCTTGTAAAGGTGCAGGACGACCCACACCCCTTCGCCAGCTTTGTTAACTTGCTCGACGTAATCTTCCCCACTGATTTCCCGAACCTCTCCATACTTTGCCTTTTCAGATAACGCTCTCATCTCAGCTATTCTTTTATTTCTGTATTCCAGCAATACTTTTTCATCCTCTTCATCTTCTAATTCATCCAAGTCATCCAAATCTAGCTCGTCCAAAGATTTCTTCCCTAGATAACAATTGAAAAATTAAAAATATTTTGTTATTGACAAGAATAATTTCAAAGGCAAATACAGTGGCGGATCCAGAGGTGGGGCGAAGGGAGCGACCGCCCCCCCCCCTCAGGCATACATGTATATATTTTTTTACTGCATGTAATACAGTAGTGAATACACATTGTGTAAAATAATTTGTCACACTAACTTTGGACAAAGAAATTGTATAAAACTGCCATTTTGGAGACTATCTTATGACTGTTCTAGATCCGCCACTGGGTAGATAAGTGTCAGTTCATTCGTAAGAAAGCCACTTTTTACATTGAGAGAGGGTGCCAAGAAAGCTTTCTCATGGAATTATTACACACCTGAATCATGGTTACAATTTGGGCTTGTAGGCTAAATCCACTACGATCAAGGACATACACCGAAAATAAGGAGAAGGCCTAACTTGTTTTGAGGGTGATAGGACTTCATGCTGTTATTACATGTTACAAGGTGTTTGTGCAGTAAAATTAAAATTGTAAAAAAATCAATACATTACTTTGGTTAAATATATAGGCCTAATCTATTTTTGCAAATTATTTTTTCTTAGATGCTTGGATACCTGTTGTTTTTTCCTGTACTGTAGATTCTAGTATATTTACAATGTCGTCTTCTGTCACTTCCTTTTCTTTTTGAGGTAAAATACCTTTGGCTCTGAGAATATCATTCCATTCAGTATCTTCATTTGGATTCTAAAAAGATACAGAATTGTACAGAATACCATGAACCTGTCAGTGCTTTTACAGGGGGCATCCAGTAGATTGACAAATTACTTTGTCAGGCCACTAGACCTTCTTTTTAAATTAAATATATAAATACGAAATACCCTCCCGGCAGAAAACCTGCCGACTAAGTGAATTTCCATTTGCCTGAATTGATTTTAAATTAAATCTATTAAATTAACATGTGTAGGTTTAACAAGTATACCACAGTTTGCTGCAACAGGGAGAACTAATAAAGTGTGTTTTTAGTAAAATATTAATAGCTTAAAAGTAAAAATATATAAATTTGCCAAGTTTGGTCAAAATATATTCATAAACAAGCAAACTAACTTACAACATTTTACAATATTCTCTATATGAATAACATGGGAATTTTTAATGCACATTTTTTTTAAATTTTCTCTGTAACCAATAACCCTAAAAAAAAAAAAAAAACACTTTGATATACTAAATTATTTGGTTTGTAAGCTCTTTAAAAAGGTCTGGAGAGAAATTGGGAAATTTTGGGTTTTGAGGGTAAAAAATGAGAAAAACCCCATAATACCCTATTAGCCTACCCCATAAATACCCAGTTCCCATGGTCCGATCATGCTGGTTTGCAAAGTTCAAGTTTATCCTGCCTTACACCTTTAAACAAAATTTCATCAAAATCGGACAAGAATTATTCAAGTTATCGTGTTCACAGTGATAAAACTTTAAGGAAGTAAATAAGTACTATACAAAATGAACAGTGTTATATTATCCACAGTGAGTAATATTTTAAGGTTTTAGGGTTCCATTTCCTAGTTGTCGAAGCCAATATTGACAGTTGACACGAAAAATCTTTGGTTTGGTTTTCAAAAAGTCTCAATTAAGTTAGGCCTATAGATAACGTTATCCCTGGTTTTATTATGTTTTTTTCCTAGGACGCTAGGCACGAGCCTGGGATTGTTTTTCACATTACTTTAGGCTAGACCTAGGGGTTGTGGCATTATCACTTAGATAATCCGGTTTTAATATAGTATACAGTGCATTGCAGAATTAACTGGCTAAGAAGAAAACCAACTGCGTGTATAGAATACTGGCTTGGAAATATAGCGCGGTCAACTATATTAAAGTACGGTAAAAAAAAATCAGCTGTATATGGCTTCCAATGCTGTTATGGGAAACATTTTACGTTAGGCCTATATCTTTCATATTTTCAATTAAATTTTCTATATCACAAAGAATCGACTTAGGCTACGTAATTAATATATAGATTATCTTACCTGCATTCTTCCCAATACTAGCCTACAGCGGATTTCTTAGCTGAAACATAAAAACAATTATTATTAAATTTAAATGGACAAGCAACATAAGAATTCTATGTTAAATTTTTTATTTACCTAGTGTTTTGTTGTTTGCCTCGAGTTCTTGAAGTTCAATTTTAAAATAGGTACACTGATCAGTTACATATTTCGCCAAAGGGTGTGGCATCTTTGGAGTTGTACTAAAACTATAAAGCTAGAGTTAAGTTACATTCTACTATTTACAATATGTTCTAACTCTGTTCTTTCACATCAGTTATCACTAATATACGTCGCGCTCATGCCCAAGATACGGGAACTTAAGCATAGCAAACTGGTTTACCGATTACTATAATAAAATTTGGTACTTTCCTGTTATCTGGTATACCTGCGAAAAAATTCTTTAACCACAAGTACAACTTCGTCGATCCAGAGTCCGGAGCACATACTACCATTTAGGTTAGGTTTGGTTAGGTTAGGTTAGGTTCGTTTACTTACAATACTCATGTTATTGATAAACTAACCTAACCTAACCTAACCAAAGTACAACTTCGTCGATCCAGAGTCCGGAGCACATACTCACACCGTCGAACGCATGTGGGGGTCAGCGAAGTGGCGCAACAAGAAGCACCGAGGCACTGCAAGTCATCATTTAGAGTCTTATTTGGCAGAGTTTATGTGGAGCAAGATGGTCGGTGATTGCGATGTTTTCGACGCACTGTTAGAAGTAATTTGTTACTTCTGGCCACCCGAAACTCAGATGGAATCATTGTTTGTTGTTTTTGTTTGATTAATAAATGCAGGTACCAGATAACAGGAAAGAATTTTTTCGCAGATGTACCAGATAACAGGAAAGTACCGTACCTAAAATTTACTGTAGTAAATAAAAAAATGGAAATATATAGATAGTAGTAGGCCTATAATAAATATATTAGAAAATGGAAGTTTAATAACACTAGACAGCGACCTTGTTTAATCATTGGGTTACCAATAGCCTAGACAGCAAATTGCCTTTTGTAAATTACTGTAAAATGGTGAATGCTGTGGAGATAAGTTAATAGAAAAAGAAATAAAAAAACATTTTAAGGACATTGACTGGTTTAATTAAGTCTATAAAAAATTGTAATAACATATAAATATATAAATATGGCAATATTTAATACATTTATCATAACTCTGCGATGGATAAACATCCACAACAACCGCTGTTTTATCCTTGGCTTCCAGAATAACCGGCACCTTTGAATCTGGGAACTCACTGGCTCTCACCCTCTGATTTGAGTCGTGCGTTTGATTGCATGCCACACGACATACTGCTCAGATGCTAATATCATAACGGGGTTGAATGCACCACGCTCCAAACAATCTCCAGTTATCTAGCAAATAGGAGGCAAATTGTATCCCTGGAGGGAGCAAATTTGGCCAGTAAGAAAATCTCTTACGGTGTTCCTCAGGGCCTGATATTAATCAATGACCTAGGAAAAGACGGACAGGCATTACTATTTGCTGATTACACAACATTGGTTACGGAAGGTAGATGTGTTGAACGGGTGAAGAGAGAGGCAAGTGCATTGCTGGAGACACCAGCAATGGAGTGGTTCGCTTCTAACAAGTAAAAACTAAACGAGGACAAGGCCCAACTCCTGATCTGCACTCATGGAAGACAAATTGCTGCTGAAGAAAATCAACCAGTAAAGCTGCTTGGTTTCTGGCTTGACCAGAAATTAAACTGGGATCACCATGTAGCCCAGATATGCACCAAATTGTCTAGAGTGATCTTCCTCCTCAGAAAGCTATTTGATGTGGTTACAGAGCAGTACCTTGTTACTGTTTACTTCTCGCTGTTTCACAGCTATATCGCGTATGGTATCCTCCTTTGGGGTCACACTTCCACATGCAGTAGATTGTTTATAGCTTACTCCAAAATGTTGAGAGTGATGACCTGTACTGAAATTAGGGGCAGAGATTATTATCGTAGGCCTATCTTTCAACGTCAAGGCATCCTGACTGTTTATGGACAATATGTCCTTAACTGTCTAATATAACTACACCACAACATCTCTATGTATGGAAGAAGATAAGAAGATATCCATCAGCATACAGTAACACCAGGAATGCTAGAAACCTCAAACTCCCTCAATGCAGACTGTCCAAATCCCTGAATAGCTTTCCAGGGACCGCAATCAAACTCTTCAATAGTCTAGGTACCTTTAAGAAGTCAGAAGTATGGATGTGGCCAAATTAAAAACCTAAGAGCGGGAAAAACTTTAGAATAGGCCTATCTAAGTTACTCATTCAAAGAATTAGATAACGTGCCACTTTTTTAACTCTTCGCCATCTCAGTTCAGTAACGGTATTAGTTTGACGCAGTCTATCAGGACAAACTTGGGGTTTAGGATAAACTGGGGAACAGTCTATCAGGTCAGAGACGAAGCCTTTAAGTATTCAAGTACTGTAATAGCAATCTAAAACTGTACTATTACTACACCCTTGTGGTGATTTAATCCTTCAATAATTAAGAATGATTAATTTTAAAATCAACTTAGGTCTTTGTTTGGTTAAAAGCATTCCTTGATCTGCTTCTAATCATTATGTCATATTATGTGATTATAAGCAGATCAAGGAATACTTTAACCAAACATTCCAGCTCATTAATAAAGATACTTTTGTTAAATATGGAAATTAGTAAATTCTAAGTTATTAAACAGTCTTAGCTAAGGTTAGAGTTAAGTTTGACCTGCAACCACTCTTATTTACAACTTGAAGTTACAGGTATGAAAATAAAAAAATTTTAATTTGAAAACAAGAACATACAAATCCTTTAATTACATTTGTATGAAAGATTAAAACCAACATAAATAGAATAGATAGATAGGTATCTAAGTTGTAGCCTATATAAAATGTTGTATTGAGAAAGTTGATAGTTACCTTTTAAGGTTATGTAGGCCAGCGACAGCGGAGCGAGCCTAGGAGGATTAAACATTAAGGAGAGGACACGCTGTAGTTTCGTTGAAGCCAGCGTACTGAGGAGGGGGGGAGGCAGCGCTACTCTCCTGCCCCCCTCTCATACTGCGTTGTATGCGTTACTGGAAGATTTGGTAACAGAAATATCAATTGACTATTTAAAAATTAGACTTCATCATGGTACGAAAATTAAAAAGTTAAATTCTAACCGTAATATTAGGAACCTATTAAGAGGAAAGTCATATTTATGAACCAATAGTACGTTCAAAGGTGAGTAATTTACACAAGGACGACTTGTATTTTAGAATTCGTTGTCCTTGTTTTTATTTTTTGCCATACTTGTATTGTGTATTATTTATACCTAATACTCTAACCAGAGCGCGGGACTCCGGTTCATGGGGTCCCGGGTTCAAATCCCGCCATATCACCAATGGATTTTACTGTTCATAAATTAAAACTCAAATCATAAGTAGTACTGTATGTGTATTTGAACATTTTCTTAAAGAGAAATAAAATAGGTTTTAATCCTTTAAAAGAATGATAAACGCACTTTGGCGTCAGAAGACGCGATGATTGTTGAACATTTACACTTTTTACTCGAAGTTTCTTTGGGCAAACAGATCAAATATAGTTCAATATGATATTAAAAAATCAAGAATTTGATTACCAAGAAATTGTTTTACTTTTTATGATTGTAATTTAATTGTAACGGCTGTTGGTGTAAAAAAAGTTAGAGTGGCTTTGCATTTTTTCTTAACTTTGGCTATTTAAAATCACCTGTCTAGCACATCAATGACTTAAAACTATTAAAAAATTATATTAACAAATCGAGAAAACTATGAAAAATGCCAATTTAAAATGTATTTCACCACCCGAATTAAAATTTTCATTTTAACCTATTATTAGTAAGATTGTTTTATAAACTGGAAAAATAAAAAAAAACTTTATTGTAATTATTTTTATAAATACCACTTTTAAATATAGGTAAATATATATTTTTTATTTCGAGAAACTCTTAAGGAACATGAATAAATTGTTAATTTGTGTAGATACATCATATTTTTTTCAAAAACGTAATTATAGTAATCATATGTTCAAAGTCCAGGTCAATTCATTCAACTTTGATCTTCAATAATAAATAATAAATAATAGTTTTTATAGGAATGATTGACACCGTTCGATAGGAAATTTAATTTACTTTAAGAATGCCATCGGTGAATAACACGGGTGTTTTAGTTTAGCGGCAATTTTAATTCGAAACAGCGCGCGTCGCGTTTTTCCCTATCTCTCCCATGTTATAGCCGAGGCTTTTTGCCACTCTACGGCTCCGCGTGCCCCTCTAGTGTTCTGCTAAAGCTGGCTTCACCGCAACACGTGTATTCCTATTCGCGTGCCCTCTCCTTAATGTTTAATCCTCCTAGGAGCGAGCAGAGTGGAGCAGGGGCGTGATTGTTATTTCTTGAAACTACTTAGGTTTTTTTTGTGCTTTTGAGATGGCTTAGACTATTTCATGAAGTTTTGAAGTTCAGAAGAAGTACTGTTGTATACCGATATGACCGATCCAGTACTCCGAATCACATTTAGCTGCAAAAGTTCCGAATTATTTTGACCTAGGCCTATTTAAAGTTGTTTTAATTCTTGTTAAATATTGGTGATACACTTTCAGCTAAACTTTTAAAGTAGTCAAACTTTAAACTCGTGCTACCATTACATTAATTGCAGTGCATTTAATTGATTGCTTTTCGTTATATTTCTGCTAGATGCTTTTTTAAGCAGCAAAATTACCGATAAATAAATCCAAATTTGCATAAGTAGTGTTTTGTTGTATTTTGCAGATTTAAATTTTAATTGCTCGTTTATAAAATAATTTTGTTCTTTATACTACATACTAATTCTTTGAATCATAAGTATTGACGAGATCAAGATGGCTACCCTTGATACGTGTCACGTGGCCTGTTTATCCAATCACAGGCCAATTACGATTTTCATGGCTGAAGTTGAAGTTAGTCATATTCTAGTTTCCGGTTGCTTACACCCAGTTTTTGTAGGATAGGGTTATTTTTAATAATATGTTTGTGTACTTGTAAGTTATAATAGAGACAAAATTATGATCTTGTTAGAGATCAATAACCGTATTGTGGAAGAAACGCTCACATTAAAATTTAAGAATGCTTTGGCTGGGTGAGTAGTTTTGTCGTCTTACCTCCTAGACCGGTTAGGGGTAGTGATGGGAGAATCGAATACTTTAAAGAATCGAATACCGTGAATTCGTAGCCTCCCCTGTATTCGAATACTTTTACGAATACTTGTATTCGAACACCTTTGAGTATGCAAAGCATGGAAAATGAGTGTGTAATTCTTTTTTCCCGTTCTTTTGGCCACTGTTATTTAGTTTTAAAGTAATTAATTCATTAATATAATTTATTCTATGTAATTTTAAATTATATGATTTATAAAAGGTACATTTATTTTGACTTATAATTATTTCATGGTCAGTTACAGTCTTATTAATGTATTATTTTCTATTATATTAACTAATTAATATCTTAAATAATATGTCTTATTCATTTTTATGGATAATTTACATCAGATATGCATGTTATTTTGCCATGTAACTATATAAATCGGTTGTAGTTATAATAAATTCTATTCAATTGCCCTCTACCAGTAGTAACCTAATATTTTAAATATCCAATATATTCTAAATGTTAACGATTAATAATAATCTTATGTAAATTATAGGGCTAATGGTAAAACAAATGCTGCAATAAAAACATTAAATACTCTTACGAATGCTACGGATTCGTAAGATATTCAAAAGGGAATTCAGTAGTTGAAAAAGTGTTGAATACATTTTTGAATCCCCCGAATTCGCTTTCTAGATGCAAGAAATCCTGCAAAATCTGAGGTCAAGAGTATTCACAAAAAAGTATTCGTACGAATCTGAAGTATTCGAATCTACGAATACTCGGGCTGTATTCGAATACTATTCGATTCTGTATTCGATTCTCCCATCACTAGTTAGGGGTGGAGTGCCCTTCTTTAAACGTCTTATTTTGGTTGTGAGAATTTGAAAAAACTAATGTTTTCAACGGTTAAAAAACATTAATAATGAACCATGTAGTTATATCTTTAGTCTATTATTTAAATAAACCGTTAATCTAATGCAGCGTAGTCTCAATAATTCATGTTTTTTCAAATCCTTACTCAAGAGAAACTAGCCTATTGGACATACATAGGTCTACCAATGACCTTATTTGGTTGTGACATTTTGCATTCTGCAGTTACTGCATTTCTTCAAGAAAGCTTTATCTTTAACTGAACCATCATTGAAGCTTAAATGCCCAATTAAGTATGTAGGCCTATCTTCAGTTTTTACCTAGCTTGGGCACAAGTTATAAGCATTGGCTAGCCTTTGCGAGTTTCATTTCCTTTTGTAAGGCTGGAGCAAACCTTTGAAAATTGCTGTCACAGATACTTATCATTTATAGGCTAGCCCATCATAGGCTGGAATAATCTGGGCCTAGGCCTACTTAAGTTTTTAAACTTTAACCCTAGGAGTGGCGAGACCGATTTTCAGTATGTGCTTTGTGGCGTGGCACGCTCATTTTGATGAATTTGTAAGGGAGTTCTTCAAAAATCTGTATAAAATTAGTATGTAGAGATAAACTATTGAACCGTATATTCATTTTGTTCGTAATAGTCAGTAGAATTCAAAAATGGTAATACAAACCAATTTTAGAAAGGTAGATTTTTAGAAAAAAGTAAAAAAAAAGAAAATTTATAAATTTTTCAAATTTTATTTCGAAAGCAAACACGTGTCACATGTAACGTAATTTTTTATTGCACAATTCAAAATATGCATTTTGTTTAGAATTTATTCCTCTACATAGACATAAGGTAAACATACCAAATACCGAACACCTGCCAAATACCGAACGCGCCGGGTTTCGTCTCAAATAATAAGCATATGCTTCATCTGATCAACACCTACTTAAGATTAAAGCATTCGTTGGCTTTTAATCTGTCTGCAGACAAATGGTGATGTAGATCGTCATTGGCCACTAGATCCAGTAAGCCGTGATTGGTAATGCTGTACACAGTTTTTGCAAATTTTTAAAATCTCTTGTTTATTTCCTTAGGAAAGTGGTTGAGATTCTTAGGCTTTAAATAACTATACCGGCCAATTTGTGATAAAGTACAGTTGTTAAAATGCAAATTTAAATATTTTCTGTCATTTTAAGCCATAATAAAGACCCAGAAACTATTTTAAAATTAATTTTCTAGCCGTTCGGAATTAGGATGGCGAAATGTACACTAAGCCTAAGTTCCGAACGCATGTTCGGAATTAGGCAGCGGTACTTCCTAATTTTGGATTGTTACGTTTTTCGTGATTATATTTACTGATTTTGACTTATTATTAATTGCAAATACCTATATAAACCATATTAGTTATAAATAAAATCATATATTTGCCAAATTTTATAAAAGTAGAGTACTTTAAAAGAATATTTTTAGCAGAAAATGGTCTTTTTAGGCCCACTGAAGTAGGCTAGTTTTAAACTACCGAGCGTTGTTACGTTTTTCGTAGCATAATTTTAGTTATAAATTAATTGTAAATGGCTATAAAATACATAATTATAACAAGTTAAAATTATAAATTTTCCAAAAATTACGAAAATGTATACTTTGAAACAATTTTAGATAAATGGTTTTCATAGGCCTACTGAAGCAGTTCCGAACCTTACGTTTTTAGTGTTATATATACACATTATGAACTGTAAACAGCTAACAATCGGTAATTATTACCTTTTATAATTATATATATTTTCAAAATTCACAAATATTTAATACTTTGGAATGTTATTCTTATCAGAAAGTAGTGTTAGGCCTACTGAAGCAGTTCCAAACTTCCGAGAATGTTACGTTTTTTTCTGTTATATTTACAAATTATTAACTTAGGGTACCCTAACTGTAAACAGCTAATATCATAATAGTTAGCCTATATATTTTTAAAATTCACAAAAACGTAGTAGCTTTCTTACTTATTAAATGTTATTTAGCAAAATAACAAACCAGAGCCAACACACCCTCATCACCCCTTATGACTCAGATTCTTGGGAATGCCAATCCCAAAATACCATCTGAACTGCCATGATTAGCCCCTCTACATTCCTACATTATATAACCATGACATCATTCTGTCCTTGTTTATATTGAAATATGCAAAAAACATACCAGAGGTCAACTCACCCCATCTCCACTTACATGCCTCACATTCCAGAGAATGTCTAACCAATACCAGCTGATGTAATGAGATCATCCCCTTCACAACCATGTTTTAACTCAACTCTAGTTATTTTTTATTTGCTAAATCTTGTATGAGATATAATTTAAGAATTAAATGAGAATAAAAATTACTTCAATACGTTTTTGGGCTTCCTGGGCGCCGGCGGAATTGCCGTTCGGTATTAGGCGGCACAAATTCGGTATTAGGAAATTCGAATTCGGTATTAGGCAGTTTCAAAATTTTTGGTATTGGTTGAAAAAAACACAATTTTTGGTAATAAATATTATTATTATTGACTTCAAACGCTGAAAATTAAATCTGGAAATATAAGCAATCATTTTAATAACAACAAATAAAGCTTACTTTATACCTATAAATATATTTTACAGATTAATTCATAACCTAACCTTGACCGTTCGGTATTTGGTATGTTTACCTTATCATAATATACACAAAAGAATTATTTTTATAAATTTACTAGCAATAATACGGAAAAATTGGGAAACGTCAATTTCTTCAACTACACGTTGATAGATCCACAAATGCCCTCTACTAATAAATCAATATGATAAAACCATACATTTTTTGAAGCCAATAATATCATTCTATATAAGAATAACTAAATAAGATAAGTAATAGAATATTTGGTTTTCACAAAAGCAAAAATGTAAACAAAACAACTGATCAGCTGTTATAGCCCACAAAACTTCACTAACTTTTTATCCTATTTTGGATCACACATGTATAAATATTTATGCAAAATAATGCATAAATATTTCGCCTAATACAAAATAAAAACCTAAAACGAACATTACACTGTAAAATTAGGGATAAAACCCACACTTCGTCTTTGTTATCGGACAAAAACTCACGACGACGCCGCCATTTTAGGTTAGACGATGACAAGTGTTCTGTTCCTTTAGCTTTGAAAAATCCAAAGCTTCTATTTGTGTGACCAGCCTAACAACATTGAATTCTACTGCCCTTCGTCTACAAGAGCGTATATAAAACAATGTTTTTGTACTTTTCACATTGTATATATATGCGATTTAGAAATCGACATTTTATGTCGATCCGCCACATGAACAATACGTAAAAATAGGCTATTTACAAAAATTGTTCATCAGCTGTTGGAATGTATTATGACGTTATACTTTATACAGAATAAAAGATTTCTTCATGCTTGTTACAGTGGTACCACTTGCTTTTGTCACAGACAAAAATTACGTCTGCTATTTAGTTTTGAAATGACTCATCATTGACGGTTGCGCAACAAAACATGGCGTTCGCGAGTTCGCGCGTATTTTTCGTTTAAATGTAACTCATTATAAGATCGATGTATTTATGTTATAAGGTTTATTCTTATAATAAAATGAAACTTCGGAATCTTATCTTTCCATTGGTATAAGAGTTATGTCATTTCATTTCACCGACTTTAAATGTGCTTAACATGCAACTGAAAAAAATGTTACATAAATCGACATATTCTGTCGCCCGCCACTCCAGCGGCACATTTTGAAATCGACATTTTCTGTCGATCTGCCACTCCTAGGGTTAAACCCTAGAACAGCCGTTAGATATTCTAAATAGGCCTACCTTCTATATTTTGCAAAAATATGAATAATTAAGTTTAATTAGAACTGGAATGAAATTAACCCTCCGAGCGTCACACTTTGTGTAGTGTCACGCGTCGATTTTTCGACGCACGAACATCGTTTACGGCGAAGGCTCTATGACTGACTGAATCGGATTGAACTGGATCGAGTTAGGTATCGTTCTTTTCGTTATATTCTACGCTTTCTCCAGAGGTCTGTCTCTAAGTGCTTTATGTTCTCCAAGCCGATCGTAATTGTAGCAGACAGCTGACGTGCGTATTTGTAAATAGCTAGGTTACCCTCGGACCGATGACTGATGTGTTTTATTACGTTTATCATTGTTTTAGTGTTAAAAATCAAAAGTAGTGATATACGTGGTGCATTATAAGAAGATTTAAGTGATTTTGAAGGGCTGGTTGATGATCCTGAAGAAGAAGGTAGTGATATTGATGTAAATTACATATCAGCCAGATTCCTAGCTATGGTTAGGCTATGTACTGAAATCTGTTTTTTGCCCATAACTTATTTATTTGCAAATCTACTTCCTTATATTATTATATATTTGTAATCCTCATAAAATTTAGAACAAAGTGGCTATTTTCAAATATTTATAGGCCTATAATTTATACAATTTCATTGAGCGCAAACTTTTTTTTTGAAAATTTTCCAAAATATTTTTTTTTACCTAAAAAATTTTTTTGAAACAAATGTTCCTTATGTTTTATGTATTAATATTGAAGCCCATGATTTTCCAAACAAAATGGTACTATATATAGAACAGTAGAATTAACATTGTTTTAAGCTTCTCAGATCCGTTTTAATAAAACCTTGCAAATGCGCCAAAAATAGGCGGACATTAAGGCCTAAACTATGGACACTCGTAGGGTTAAAATAATCTATGGCTTTCTGAGTTGGTACAAAATAATTTCACTAACTTACTTCTTGTGATTCTGTAAGTTATGAGTTGTCCCATCAAATTAGTGCTGGTAGCACTCGTAAGTATCAAATAAGTAGGCCTAAGTAAGATTAAGTTACATTACTGACTAGTGACTACGCTATGCTGGTGACGTTGTGTACAAAAAACTGTGATAACGCCCCTTCCTTACTCTAGGGCAAAGACCCAGGCCTACGCTTAGTTTTGCATTTTATTCCTGGTTCTTATTGAAGACTTCTTTATCAGCATCGTAAGTTACGTGTTTATTAAATTACCTGAAAGCACAAAATATATAACAATATTTTTAAGCCTACAATTAGGGCCTATTCTGTTTACTCGAACAAGACGGTTACAAAGATCCTAACACCTAAGTAAGTTTGTGGAAAATTCACCTAGATAAGTTTATTGGGTCTGATGATGATTGGAGTGTCCAACCGAAATCGATCACCACTGAAGTTGCCATCTTTAACTTTTTTATGTATTTACCGTCTTGTGAGAAAACAGTGTATGTGTAAATATTCTATATATAATACGAGTAAAGTTTGAATACTTGTCAACTCGATCTGGGAATCGGCTCTAACAAAAACGTTTATATTTACGGAATAACTAAGTTCTGTGTCAAAAATAAGTTCTAGACCAGTGGTATAGCCAGAAAAAATTTATTTTCGCCATAATATGAGTACAAACTTTTGAAAATTTAACATGGACCTTATGAGAAAACATTCCGCCATTATTGTCATTTTGTTTACATTTTAAGACATAACGTGACGTTCTGTACCCACGGGCACCTCAGCTTGCGCATGCACATATGGCCTATTTACAAAAGACAGTACAAAAGAAAAGGAGTCCGATGAGTACCATTAAGCGTTGATTAACAATACACCGATTCGCATAATTTCTGGTGGCCTTACTGAATTATTCCAAGCAGATTATTTCGTTTAGTTGTTGTTATTAGTTTTGTGGTAAGAAGTAGTAAAGGCTGGCATCGCAGAGTGGGGGAATGATTTTCCCCGAGCAAAGCTCGGTCTCCAGGTACTAGGCTATTATTAGGCCTACAAGTGTTATTTGACATAGTTATTGTGCTTTCAGATTTTCTTCAATTAATATGTTTAGGCTAGCTTCATTTCACCTTAAACTTCTTGATATCACTTGTTCAAGTAATTACTTAGCATCCTTGACATTTTGTCTCATGGTTACAGTACTGTCGGCATGTCCGATAGTTGCACAAAGAAACAAATAGGTAGGCCTATTTCAAATGTTAGGTCAGGTCCCACCAATAATAACCAATCAAATACTTAGCATTAATCCCGACCATCCAAACGCTTTATGAAGACCTGTGCTAGGATCTTTGAGGACACCAATAAGTTTGATATGCTGGTCAATAAAGGCTCACCCATGGAGTTTTTGGTCTGATAGGACATTCAATAAAATGCCTTTCAAGATATAACCCCCCCCCCCCTCCCTATGTCTTTTGAAGATCAGTATAGCAAAAATGCTATCTTATATAAGTTAAGTGGTATTATTTTCAATTGAGGTGATTTTTTTACTAAGGTATAGGTCTAAGACTGGGACAGTGGCATCGTCTTGTAATTCAGCTAAGTTACTAGGAGGTCACGAATTGTGGATATTTATAGGTAGGTATGCGCTGTGGATGTGATACTCCCATGCGTGTATTGACGTCCCCACTAAGTTTAGTGAGTACTAAGACTATCCACAGTACTATCCTGATAATTACACCATTCGTCGATTACTAGGCATAAATGTGGTTCAGATTCCACTATAAACTATAGTTGCCATCATTATTATGGGCTATTAGGCTAATTAACAGCTGTGTCCAAAAAGAACAAGTTGGACTAGGTCACTTTACTTAATACTTAACTATCTTATGAAATGATGGATCATACAAAGTAACTTAGGTTTTAAGCCAAGTATGATTGGAGATGAGTAGTGCGATCTTGTAGTCTTGTTAGTGACTAAGGCCGACATATTCCTTAGTCACAGCTGTTAATTAATAGCCCATACAGCTAATGGCAACTAAATAGGCCTAAGGGGGTTTGTAGTGCAATCCGAACCTCATATTTTTGTCTTGGTATTAACAAATTGGTTTAATTATCAGGCTAGTACTGCGGATAGTTGTAGTACTCACTTAATAGTACTTGTTAATGCACACCAGGGATTATTGCATCCGTAGTGCATGCCTATAAATATCCACAATTCGTGACCTTCTAGTAGCTGGATTACGGGACGACTAATTAGAAGATCGTACCACTCATCTGCATTAATACTTGACTTTAAGATTATCGGCCATCGAAGGAGGTTGTAAGTTATGTATGTTCTGTGCAGCAAATTCATAGCATCATGGTGCTTAGTGAGTGTAGGCCTGACTTAGTAGCTGTAGGCACATTCCTAAGTTATGTCATTTTAATGTGCAGCCTAATTCTTCTATAGTAGGCCTATCCTATACGTCAATATCTAAACAATCCTGCATCCTTCTGTAACTTACTGGTAAACCCACTTTGTCACTATGTTTAAGATAGGCCTACTGTTCTGCTTTTATGTAAGTTAGGTTAGGCCCTCAATAGAATTTCGTAGTAGGCCTAGGCTAAGTTTAGAGTGATTATGTATAGGCCTACAATCTTGTTCAGTAAGTTACTTTTTAATAGTGTAAACCAGATGTGATTAAGTAACTCCTAACTATATCTTTGCTCTTCATGTTTAACGTATGCCTACGCGTATTGTACAAATTTTGTTTGTTTCAGCCATAAACCAGAATCGATAGATATCAGTATTGCTGACTTTGATGGAGCGTTATTCCACATTTCCAATGTGGGAGGAGATAAAACCAAAGTTCGGGTAAGAGATAATATTTGTTTCTATTAGTTAGTGCAAGACATATTAGCCTACTCAAACTTCTAGTTTTGTTTGGATATTGTTTTATCTATTATTGTTCTTTATCCTACCAGGGCCGGATTTATCACATTTGCGCCCCTAGGCCCAATGATTTTTCCGGCCCTAAATCTGGTTAAAGTTAATTTCCTACAAACCTTTAGTAAAAACTAGATCAGGCACATAAGTTGCATAGTCACCACTCCAAAATGCAATTCCATCATTGCAAGTTTTTGAGGAATTAACTTGGTTCAGGCCTTAAATAACGTCATCTTAACCACTTTAGCAAATGTTCCGTATTAAATATAGTCAGCTCACGTTTGTGGGACTGAAACAAATATGACCCGCAGAACATTCATGCAACAAAGCATTGCCATAGCTGATGTTGTGGCGGCTTAAAATTGCAGGCACAACAAAATATGAACTCCTTACATTAAGTCTGTAAGTGATATAATAGATTAAACATATCTCCTAAGCTAAATAAAATTTTCATTTTTATGAATCAGGAAGACAATTGTTGTTATTTCAGTTATTATAAACCATGTATTTCAGTTGTTTTAAACCTTGTTTAACCAAATAAGACAATCTAATCATAAACAGTAGCTCATTCATAGTTTAAAAAAAAAAAACTCGTTAGCAGCTTGCGTTCCTCGTAGATTTATCATTATTGTTTTGTTGTTCTTGTCCGTGTTATGCTTCATTGTTACTTTTTATATTTATATTTACATTGTTATTTACTATATTTTGTTATATTTATTTCCTATTTACACTGTTGTTGCTTGTTATATCGTTATATCATCTTGTTATATCTATATCTTGTTATATCTATACCTTGTTATTTCTTATATCTTTATATCTTATATCTTTCTGTTATCATTGTTAATCTATTTATTGAATGTACTTCAAGTTGGCTAAAATTTCATCAAAAATGTCTATTTTTTTAGTCTTATATAAGTTTTGTCATATTTATGTATTGGTTTGACCGTTGGTATAAATAAATAAATAAATAAATTCCCTGGTTATATAACAAGAAAGAAAAGCACAACTCGTGAACTTAACCCTTAAATCGTAGATTTATAAGTAATTTCCTGTCTGTAGTAATCTTTATTTACGAAATGTGTGTCATATAAGTCTGACCATGTTAACGTAAACATTGCGGTTTATCATTTAATTTTCCTTTTGCGAGGTTATGGTGGTAAGTGTGTTTCGACAATAACATTGGCATGCGCCCGTAATCACTCCGAGCAGTAGCCCCGACCATTGAGCCAGCATAGTGGCAGTGGCAATACCATTATTTTGTTTTAATAAACTTGAGTTTGAACTCCACTAGCCTGATAAAAAAAAATCAATTTGCATGATGTCTTAATTTAAGGCTATTTATGTTGATTTCTAGATATTCAAAAAATAATTTTCCCCTCGGCCTTGCGCCCCCTGGGAGCTTGCGCCCATAGGCTTGGGCCTATTGGGAAATCCGGCCCTGTATCCTACTACTCAATTAGGATTTATAGAACCTGTATTAGTAATTTTCGAACATCTTTTTATTTTATCAAGGTACATCAGAAAATAGTTGGTTTTTAGAGATTTTTAATTTTATATATTACAGTATTATCACTTGGGATATGGACGCTGCCACATATGTGTGTATTTAAAACCCAAATATGAGTGAAGCTGGTGAATGTAGAATGGAGTGTATCTTTGTTACTGAAGACCATCTGTTTCATTAGGGAGGACCATTTATTATAAACCCAATGATCAAGGACAGCTGGGTCCAGTTTCGAAACAACACAAAGCTACACACTTTTCTCAGGATTTATTTATTTCAACGGACATCTCCATTTTAAAACCATACAAATCAAATCAGTACAACTCAGGATAGCTTATACCGTAGGCCTACATATAACAAATACGACGGAAAACAGTTTGAAATGATGAATAAGTTCATTGTAACTAAAAGAAACTTAGCTTAGGATTGAAACTGTTGACCTTTGGTTAGGGCCTACTAGGCAAGCACTATAACCACTGATGTCAGTGTTTTAGGATTACAGATATTTAAACTCTTGGCTGTTAAGGAAACCTAAACAAGATATTTTCAGGAATTTTACTGATCTCCATCACTGTGTATGCCTACAGGCTGGGTTTTGAATCATGGTTGGAATACCTTTGGAGTTTTATATTAAGCCTATGCATTACTTCGGGGTGTTAAATACTAGGCCATCTAGTTCCCATCTGAATAGTAATTCAGATATGTTGTTTAAATGTTCCTTTGTTTGCAGTAGGTACATATGACTGTTAATAAAACACTAAAACAAGATGAATACAATTTTAAATCTAAGGTTAAACTTTCTAAATAATTTGATTTCTCATCGAAACCAATTTCATTTATCCTTTGTAGACAAGCATTTCACTCAAGTTCTACAAACAACTGCAAGAGCATGGAGCGGATGAACTTTTGAGGAGAGAATACGCCTCCTTGCTGATTGAACCTGAAGATGGTGAGTTATTCAAATCAAATCAAATCAAATCAAATATGCTTTATTCATAAAGTACAGTGTTGTACATTGAGTGGTGTCAACTAAATCTATCTTAAATTAATAGTTTACAGATTTGCATATCTTGGATCATTATCTAAATCAAAAACCAAGAACCAGGAAATGAAAATATTCAAAACTGAATCAATTATGTACTAACGCTAAGAGGGGAGGTGGAAAAATACTCTTCCAGGGAATAGAATGCTTTCTCTACTAAATATAGTTTTAGTTTTCTCATGAAATTCTTCCTGCTTTGTTCATTTCTGATTTCATTAGGAAGATGCTTAAAAAATTTTAATCCTATATAGGATGGTTTTTTTTCATAGAATTTTAATTTATGTTTACTTGAAATAAGGAATTTTTTATGCCGAGTGTTGTATGGTTGATAATTTGTCTCGGAAGTGCTCAAGCAGTTTTTTACTAGAATAATTGTGTCGTAAATATATTGGCCATATACCGTTAAAATTTTCAGTTCTTTGAATTTGTTTTTGGTTGTTTCATTGTGTTCTAATTTCAAAATTATTCTCATTGCTATTTTTTGAAGTTTAAGTATCCTATCCAAATTTGCTATTGTAGTTGAACCATAAAGGCACAAACCATAGGATAAATGCGAATGGACATTAGCATAATATATGTTTTTTAATGTTTTATGGTTACAAAAATAAGACATTCTAGAGAGTGAATATAGTCCTGAACATAATTTTGAAAGGAGTTTATCAACATGTTCATCCCAGTTTAAATTTTGGTCCACAGTTAGACCTATAAATTGTGTACTGTGTTTATGTTCAATTTCTTCTGCATTATACATGATATTTGGTTTAATTAACTTTTTATTTTGATTTGTTTTAAAAGTTAAAAAATTAGTTTTTTTTAGGATTAAGCTTCAATTTATTTTGCTCTAGAAAGTTTCCAATGTTTGCCAATTCAACAAAACTTAAAATTTCAACTTGTTGCACTGACTCAGCCGATACTTTGAGATTTGTATCGTCTGCATAAAAACAAAGATTGTTCTGAGGTAAACATGAGAGTGCACCACCAGCATCATTTATATAACATAAAAATTCACATTATAATAACTGTCGTATTACTACGACAGTTGTATTTATCAACTAACTTACATTTCTTAAGTTAAAATTTTTTATTTATTCACAGTTTCTCCACTACAGTATAGGTGGATAGGCCAAACAAGATTAACAAAATGGCAAAGGCTGAAAGCCAATTCAAAACAAGTTAGGCGAAAATCATCTTAAGTTATTATCAGTGATAACCGAAATCTATCGTTCAAAATGTTCCTATACATAAGTGTTGGGCTGATTCCTGAATTGGTCGATACCGATTCTACAACTTGGTTTTGATTCTTGATTCCGCACTCGATACCGATACCTGTTAAAAATTAATTTAATAACACATATAGGCTAACCTATGAACCTATGATATAACTTTTTTAAATCTTTATACCTACAATAAGATAACTGCATCGTATTGATTCAGGTTACATAGATTAGGTTAGCCAATAAGGAAACTTATATAGGTAGGCTATTTCAAGAAGACATGAATTTTAACATATTTTATTAAATTTAATTTTATCTAAAACATTTTGAGGATTATGTATTCTCATTATCCCAGGAAGCTAGGTATCAAATGACTAAAGATTGTAAATTTAGATGTTATTTGCCAATATATATAATTTATACATTTTCTCCATAGTCATTAGGACTGTAAATTTATAGTAACAAACATTTTTCTCAATTCTTTCAAATATTCTCAAGAATATTTGTCTTAAATTTCCTTTGTTAATTGTGATTATATTATACTGAGTATAATTGTTTAACAATCATTACAGGTTACAATGTTTCGGTGCTAATAAGTTTAGACAACATACCTACCAATTGGGAAGAAGTTGTGAAAAAGATCGGCCTTTTGAAAAGGAATTGTTTTGCTTCAGTTTTTGAAAAATATTTTGACTTCCAAGAAAGAGGAGAGGAGGGACACAAACAAGCAGTTATCAATTATAGAAATGAAGAAACTATGTAAGTATTTAATTTGTAAGCAGCAATTTTAATTTTTTCAACATAGGCTAAATATTTGCAAAAATCATTAGAAGCTTAAGAAAGAGTAGGCCTTTGTTAAGAGTGTAAGATAGAGAGATACTTGTAATATTTACACACTGATAAAATCCAAGGAGTGGTACGGGCTAGGTGTCGTCACTTCAGTAGGATTTATAGTCAGATTGCTGATATACTGATATGTACTTAACTCACTTCTTACTTTTTTTTAACTATTCACCGATTCAATACTTCAAGTGCCTCATAAGAACTACTTCCCCTTATATTTTATTTACACTTAACAACTAACTAATTAAGTTTATCTAGGGGACCATAGCAGCAATTGCTGCTTTTTAGCTATGTATACAAAGTAAAATTAAATACACATTTTTTTACACATTTAGTCGCAGTCTTCCCCTAACACGATACATGTCAAAACTGTATTACCATTCTAACCTAAAAACAGAACACTAAAATCAATAAACACACAAATATGCAACGTTTACATCAGTTGGTATATTTAAAACACTGTATGGGTACTTCCATTCGAAAATGACTGGATCTTTGACGGCCTGTGGGGCAGAGCAGGGGTAATTTTTAATTTTTGACACTTCTGATATTTTTCCCACCGTCCTTGGACCTTAAGCTTAAAAATGAATCCTCAACAGCCATGCTACCTTTTTCCGAGCTCGAGATATTTCGTGGTGACCGATTTGCTTACGAAATTAAATATATAGATATTATGTCTCACAAACTACAAGTTGAAATTCTTCTTGTAGTTTCATACTCGCTATAAGAATTTAATTTTACGAAAACTGTAACAAAAAGTCTAGAGAGCTGAAACATAATATGAATGTTACTTGTATCATTTTTTTTATAAAGAAACTTGTATTCATCATTACTCTAGTATTAATTTGATTCATGATTATTTATGACATGTAATAAATAGGTTTACGTACCTTAACAATTCTACAGTCTCAGGTTGTGACAGAATTTAAAAATATTACGGCTACTTGTTTACGCCATGTCTTATAAAATTACTTAAATGTATTTTTAATTATTTGTTTTGGTCAAAACCAAATAATTGACATCCAGACTATTTTTCTTGATTTTGGTTAGAATAAGAACATAAAACATAACATAACACATATGAACACAGGTACATTAAGAACATTAAACAAATGTGTGGTAGACCATAACACACAATCACAATGACATACAACAAGGTCATAGACTTAGTTGTGCCCGTCCCATTTATGTCAATTGATCAAGGGTTTGCTGTATCTTATCGTTCAGTATCCATGCAAAGAACGGGCCACCAGCTAGGTTTGTCATAGTCGTCGATTTATTTTTAATTGAGAGATGATTTTTTCTTATCTATTAGCAAAACTGTGAAATAAATCGGAGCTTTTCCCTCGTAATACCCTAAGGGGGTGTAACTGACTTTGCAACAGTAAATCCTCTAGATTATATGTTTATACTATAATGTTTATCATATGTTACTTTAAAATGGCCCCCCTGCCTTTATATGCATTCTGTAGTGGCATTACATAATTACAACTCTCCAAATATCAACACAGTGTCCCTAATAATATTCTTAATAATTATGTTTTCTTTCCAGGTATGTCGAAGCAAAGTCTGACAGAGTAACGGTAGTATTTAGCACAATATTTAAGGATGAAAATGACATAGTGATAGGGAAAGTGTTTATGCAAGAGTTCAAAGAAGGGCGCAGGGCGAGTCACACGGCGCCGCAAGTCCTCTTCAGCCATAGAGAGCCGCCACTGGAGTTGCAGAACTCAAACGCTCTGGTGGGAGAGAATATAGGATATATCACATTTGGTGAGTTCATTTGATTTGAACACTATAAATTGTATGCTGGTTTTACGTCAGAGGTGAAACAAAATGTTTCCACCTTTTATATTAGTAAAATTTCCAGATTACTTACACAACGTGTATACTACTTGATATGTCATATGCCATAAAGAATTAACTTGATTAAAGTATGAGAGTTGTCTGTGGATTAATGTCCCCATTGAGCTCCCATCATGCTAAAGTTTGAGCAAGCTTAAATACGAGACCAAGCCCCCCCCCCCATACAAGACCATGAAAGGATTATTTACTTCATTCGCTACAATTCTAGCCACTTCCTACCCTTATGCAGCGATTAGTCTTTTTACAATTCCTGAAATATATGTTAAAGAAAATTGCTCCAATGAAGCATAATATTCTGTGATAAGATTTCTGCAACAGGGAGGCAACCTCCATAGAAATCCGTTCTTAGTTGGCATATGTATATGCAGGAAGGTGTTTACACTCACTCACCACTCCCATGGTCGTTTATGCCCAAGGCGGGATTTGGCCGCATCAACAACTGCTCTCCATCTCTCTCTATCTTCTGCCTCTTCCACTGCTGCCCCCACTTCCCTGAGGTCTAGACACTATCCCACCATCTCTTCTTGGGCCTTCCTAATGGTCTTTTCCCTTCTGGCTTTCCTATGCTTGCTTCTTTTAGTGAACGGTAGTGTTATTCACCCCCGTTCTCTCTGTAGTGTGTGTTCTGCCCACCTTATTCTCCTTGCTTTCACCTGTGCTACTACATCATAATCATTGTACATATTCCTTATCTCCCTAATTATGCATTTTTCTCCAATATCCATTTTCTTGTGTTGGGCCATATATCATTCTTAAACATTTTGTTTTCAAAAACAAAAATTTTGTGCTTTTTTTCTAAATCCAAGTTTTAGATCCATATGTTCAAACTGGTCGATTTACAGTATGATATATTTTTATTCTATGCGAGAGAATCTTTGAAGTCAACAATATCTTTCAAGTAGCGGACATGCATTTATTGGCCTGAGCAATCCTATAATTTGTTTCTATTTCTTCACTATTACTGCTTGATATAATTACCCCTAGATATTCAAATTGTTCAATAACTTCAAAATTATGTCCTATACGTAGGCTATAATAATTTCATTTGCCCTAATTTAATTTGGCTGTCTCATGAAGTGCATTTATTTTGTCTCCTCATCATTGATTCTACACCTAGAAAAGTGTTTAGGTTTAGTAAATGTGCTAATGTGGCTCATGGAATTGGTGGATGGCCGTAGACATTTACAATAGTCCGTCAACAAGAGTTTATTAGTTTTCATCAAGACATTGATTAAAGTTGTAGTAAATTCACTTGTATGCATGTTTAAGACTACTAGAGAATACTTTAGTCCCAGAGATATAAGTTTGGCAGTATCATTCATTCCCATCGCGATCTATATGCAAAATCTCTCTCTAACTTTGGTCACTATAGTTCGGCCACTTAGAAAACGACCTGCGCGCTAATGCTAAACCAATGCTGGAGGAGGTCGCAAGCGGCCGAACTATAGCTAAGCATTGTGCAAATTTTGCAACCAACACCTACAAACTCCCTTTGTACCTTGTGTGCATGTTCTGCTTCTGAACACCTCACTTCGTTTATGTCCTTCCACAATGGTGGATTCAAATAGCGGTTTATGCCTCAGATTTTAAAAATATATTCGTGAAACATGGTGGAGAGTGTTGATTTTCCTTTACATCATGTTTACATATAACGTTTATTTTTGTGTCAATAAATGATTTTATTTGATTACTACTATAAATTTGGGTCCAATCATCGCATATGCTTGAAAACCACTAAGAAATGTAAAGAATGAAGTAAAGAACTTCTGTCAGACTGTATTGATGTAGTTGACTGTTGACTGTAGCTCGCTTTGATGCGATAGAAGCTCAGTGAAGACCTTAATTTACTGACAACCCTCAAAATTTCTGTAAATAAGTGTTTGCTTCTAAAGTTTAAATTTGTGAATCGGATGTCATTTTCAAATTGCAATGCAACCTTGATATAACGAATCACATGGAACAAAACCAAAGAGTCGTTATATAAAATATTTTGTTACAACGAGGCTCGTTGAGTTTAGATAAGCTATTTCTTTCTGCATAATGTTATCAAAACATGTAGGCCTAAGTTACTTTTGACATCGTTTAATCATTGTAAAATAGTTAGCCTAAATTTAAAATAATGTAATAAATAATAAAATGTAGCACAATGATAATTCTACACAGAAAATGACAGCTTGTAAGTAAACAATACAGTTAAAAAGAAAACTTAAAAATCTCAATGCACAGACTATAAAATCATACTTAAAGAGTACTCCTACTTTTTAAAACACACACAATTAAGCCCCCCACACACTATCCAACATGTTGGACGGACACGTCGGGATCCAACGTTTTGTCAAACATATTGGACAGTCTGTGGGTTCCAACCCGACATGCTCGACGGATAAGTCAGGTCGGCGTCGGTTGCTCTGTCCGGTAGCACCACCTGACTCAAGCCGTCCGCCTGACATGTTGGAACGTGTGTGGGAAACCGTCGAGCCGCTCGCCCGACTAGCCACAGTTGACTTGTATTTTTATGAGTGAGTTGTGCTGTGAAGTTATTGTCCCATTTTTCCATAATGTCATTTAATGATAATCAAACAGTTCTGGTCAGAATTTATTGAACTCTACAGAGACCAGAAGGCGTTGTGGGATGTCAAAAGTAAACTCTATTGTAACAAACATGCGCATAAAGAGGGGTACGATATCCTGATGGAAAAGTGCAACAAATGGATGGATGCAGTGATAACTGATGGAAGTAATGTGGCTAAACTGGTTTCGATCTAACAACCACGGTTTTGACCAACATCGCCTATTTTTCTTCTTTTTGCGCAAACACAAAAATCCCGCACAAACAGCTACAGTGGTCTCAAAATCCATTTCAAAACTGATATTTAACACCTGACTTGTTGGATGTTGGGTCCGATGTCAGATCAGGTCCGGCGGCATGTTTGATATTGTGTGGGGGGCTTTAGAGAATAGCTTTATACCCAAAAATTTAAACCGAGCTGAATTTAATTTGAACTAACTGATTTTAATTTTTGATTCATTGTTTCAGTTTTATTTCCAAGGCATACAAATCGGACTGCAAGAGAGAACACTATCAACCTCATACACATGTTTCGGCATTACTTGCACTACCATATTAAATGTTCAAAAGCGTACATTCATTCTCGGATGCGTGCTAAGACATCAGACTTCCTGAAAGTGCTCAATCGTGCAAGGCCTGAACCCAAGAACGTCGAGAAGAAAACCATTACGTGAGTATTAAACTATGTTTTTTCATTTGATGAAATCTCTTCTATTTTTTTCAAAGATTATACTTTATCATGAACACTCTGGTTGATTATCTTTCTTTGACAATAACAAAGACATATAATATACACTAGTAGAAATAGTCTACTAATGAAGAAGGAGCTAGTTAGCTCCAAAAAATTGTTTTGATTTATTTGTGTAATTTATTTTAATTTATTGTAATCTATTTTCGTCAGTAAGGTGAGCTTGCTGTTAAATCTCATATCAAAATCTTATTCCTGGCCTAAAGCTATTTTTACCAAAAAACTTCATCACCTTTTAGACATCATGTTATTTTTTTGGACATAAGTGTTTAGTGAGTTCATAAAAAGTGAATGTCTTGTAATCTGTACTATGGTAATTTACACTCATTTTAAACTGGGGATTTCATCTTCAATGAGTTTTGTCAGCTGTAAAAATTTTCTTTTTCGCAGTCCTGTTTATCTGATTGTTATTGTAATATTTCATGAATTTTTGAAACCGTTTGCATCAATTTCAATGCCAATACAGCTAATAACACGTAACAGTAATTTATACAAATATCATGCTTTTAATAATTTTTGTAGGTTTTAAAAGGTCAAATTTTAACTTGTTTGTTTTATTAACTGCGTACTTTATGTTTAGGGCACACTCTTATTTTTTATAGTCAGGCTAACAGTAGTATTAGGGGAGCAAGCTGGTCTTGGTAGTGCGATGCTTCAATCCCAGAGGTCCCGCCAATCACCAATGGAGTTTATTATTTGGAAATTCCACAATCCTAAAAGGTATAGCCTGAAGTGTTGTGTATACACAGTTCCAGGCAAAAAAAAACATAGAAAAAAGTACAGTACCATAGTGTTTCATTCAAGAAACAGTTAACATTTGCTTATCTTGTGTTGTAGGGGTCGCACGTTCATCAGGAAGGAATGATTACTTGCTGCCAGTAGGTAAATGTGTACAAACGGAGGCCGTGGAGCCACTACACTGCCACACGGACACTCGACTGGAGTGCCTATACAGTACCATCACCAAACATGTAAACAACTTGGTTTGTCTAAAATAATATTGTAATAAGGTTTTCTGCTTTTAAAATCATATTTGAGTTGGTTTATTAGAGATGGTTACCATTATTTAGAATAAGGATGTGAGTTCGGATAGCTTATTTGACAAAATTAGAGTGCAAGTTTACAGATGGAATGAGTCGAGCATAACTACGTTTGACTTTAATTATTTATATTAGGCTCTTAGTTGGTTTTGTTGATACTAATCATTTAGTGTTGTTAATAATCACAAATAACGTTTTATTTAAGAGCAATTTTATAGGCTTTTAATTGCTTTTATTTCCAAGTAGGCCTACAACCAATTGCTTGTAATTTTTTTGTAAGGCAAATAATATCCTAGTCGAAATAAATCAAGACTGGTCTTTATGCTAGATTACTTATCTTCTGATAAAAACTAGTTCTCTTAAATGATTAATTTATGTTCTTAGATTGTATTGCGAAACAAAATAGTTGACACTGATTAAATTAAAATAGCATACTATAATTGTTTGGTTTAATGGAACAAACTTCACACATGCACATAAAAACCTTGTTTTAATACTTAAAAGTTTATCCAACTTTTAATAAACTTGAGGATTTTGGATGGTGATCAGCTTTGCAGAGTATCGCATTGTAGCTCAATTAAAATTGTTGACCTAGTTGTAAGAGTGTTTAACTGTGTGGCAGTGGTTTATGTATATGTTTGTTATTATTATAACTCATGTAAAGACTTGTGAATATGCAAGAAAATCCCTGTGATTAATTATGATAGATCAGCTGAATGGATTCTTCGATTTCTACGCAATACTATTTTTAACGCCAATGATCAGTTTTGTTAGCATTATTTAAATTATGATTAGTGTTTTATAATAAAGCCATACACTTTTTAACAATCAAAGTAGATCAAGTTTAGTTGTAAAAGGTTGGCTATGGAAGGAATATTGACTTGAGACACACCTCTATGAATTTTCTTTGATTACAGTACTTTAATAATAGTTGTTTTTTTTTTTTTGGTACTCATTAGTTATTGCAATCCCTGTTTTTTCTTAAGCCTGGCAGCCATTTAATTACATGTTTTTGTGGATTTCTTGTAAAGTCAGAATTTGTCAACTGGCTGGGTAGCTGAGTGGTTATAGTGCTCGCCTAACAATAGAAAGGTTGCTGCATCGATCCTGAGAAAAGTCAGTAGCTTCTTGATGGTTCGAAACTGGACTCTGTCTCTGATTATTGGGCTTTGAATAAAATGATCCTGGCTAATGAATCAGCTGATCTTGGTAAATAAAAAGTTACACAGATCATGTCACACCATTCTATGCTCATCCTTCACTCATATTTGGGTAAAATACGCACAAAGGTGGCGTCCCCATCTCGATGGATAATGCCTAAAAAGAATCTGACAAAATTGATGTTTCAAAAAAGCTGAAATACTTTTATAACAAACACTGAAAACAATCGCTGGTCTTCTCAATTTTATATTTCAGTTTAAGCACAGTTATTGATTATAAATTTTACTACAGTGTGAACTGAAATAGATGTTGCAATACAACAAGATTGCTTTTCAAAAGCAATAGCTTTGTTGTATCAATCACCAGAGACCAGCGGTCTATAATGGTTTCTTGGAGTTTTTGTTTGTTGTAGCAATCAGATGCGTCATAATGAGGTCATTGTGATCTCACTCGTATGCACACTGACTCACACTTGTGGCATTAATTGTTTAATCTATCTCTACCCAAATGTTAAATTGATTATTAAAACATTGCCATTGGTTGGATCCCACAAGTTCTTAATTCAGATATTACAATATTTTATCATAACTTTTTGCAACAAATTTGTTCTGCTTAAGTTGTTTGTGGGGAAAAAAACTTATTTGAGTTAAATCTTAGAGGATGTGTCCCAGTCCCAGTTTTGGCTGTTCCTCTCTATAACACCAACACCAGTGTTGTCAACAAAAACATTGTGCAGATTTTACTATAAAATTGTAAATATATCAAGTTTTTCAACCATACCATTTCAATTTTGGCCTCAAAATTCCTCTTTATGTTGAATATATGTTTACATACATACGTATAATTCACTCTTTATGGACCTTTTGTATTAAATGCACAATTGACATCATATTTACAAAACACTTACAAAACTTGTTTGTATTTTTTATAAAGTAGCCTACATTTCTTTAATATTTTGTTAGACACATACAATTAAAATGTACATTAAAATTAAATCTGAATAATTAGTTTAGAATACTTTTTTATATCTTATTATAAGCATATTCTGTTCTTTATCATAAGAATCGTGATCTGCTGAATTTTACATGAGTTGTATTTTTTAAGGTAAAAACTGCACAATACCAAGTTTTATTATAAAACTACTAGGAAAAAATGTGTTATATATAAGTTATTTTTGTATTTGTCAATGTATTGATGAGGGATGTTATAGTATGCTGTATCCAGCATTTGTCCAACATGGGTAATCACAATGTTGTGTCAACATAACATGTTGCCGCACAGTCTGTTAGTACTTGTGCTAAGAGTTTTCCAGTATATTTCAGCTTCCATGTTGGTAAATCTACATTCTCTTTCTCCTTATACATCCCAATATTGCGTTCATGGTGCATACACTTAATTTAGGAAATTTTAGCCTGTTTGTATAATGAAGTATTTATTCGTGAGCAGTAGTGGCTGCTTATATTGTTATTTTATCATATATCGAATACCTCTGTTCAAAATCTTTTAGACTTGTACAGAATAATGTAAAATTTGATTCTTGTTTTCAAAGTTATTGTAATTAATGACAAAATATTATTTTTAATGCATTTATTCGGTTATGTTATTTTGTATATATTTTTATACTTAATATTATGGAAATAATTTTCCTGAAGTAACTCTATTGTTGTATTTTTTATTTCATGTAATTTATAGTTAATTTTCAAAGTATTTTCAATAGTTATTTTATTGTAAATATTAAACAATTGTATTAATAATGTTTTGTTTATTGAATTAGTTCCCCACACAGTTTCCCACACATTCTTCAATAAACATGTCACATTCAAGAGGTTTAATAATTAAAGACTCACTGATTTTCAAGGGTTATGTACAATTTAGATTTTAGTATTCTTCTACTTGATTGAATATTAAAGAGTAACTTATTGCCAGACTAGCACAAAAGGTTTTTGTTGCAGTGAATTAATTCAATATTTCATCCCCAAAACATAGGAAAATAACTTGAAATATGTATAAAAAAGTGGAACAGACAAAATATTCTCACCTCAGGTGTTAACTGTTGGGGTGGGAGTGTCTCACTGGTATTCCAGTCAATTGTAGGATTGTTTTCATTGATTCAGCACATTAAAAATACCCAATAACTTGTGAAGGAAGAGGGCTAGTTTCTAATGATGAAATCATATTTCAATTTGTCATTAGTTAGGACCACAGACATAATGCACTAGAAACGTGAACTTACCAAGATGAGGTTTGTTATCTAGGTCAAAATTAGGTAGTGAAATTCCAACCCCCAGGCACTAAGGCTAGCAACCTGTGAGATCTCGTTTTTGCGGGATGGGATTCTACGGCATTGCCTTGATAAACATTGCTCATATACAAGTTAATACAAAATATTCATATATAGTATTGTATTAATCAGCTATAGAAATTTGGATCTTGACATCTCAAAAACTGTATGGCACGGAATTCCACCCTCAGAATCGTACTCTGCTGTAGCACTACTTTTGTTTTAAATTGAAACAATTTAAGGTAATGTAAGTTTTTCTAAAAAAATATATAAAGGTAGGCCTAATAATTTGTAAATACCATATCAAGAGACCTAAGCCAGGAGTAAAAAATGGTAACATAGTTATTTATCATGTAACTAATGGTTATTTAGTTTAAAAATTCCCAATTTTGAACTAACTAGAAAGAAAGTTTAAACTCAAATAACCAACTTGAACAGAAATAAATGATCTGTTCATAACAAACTACAGTAGTAATATTCGTGCAGTAATTAATATGTTTCAACCAGATGTGTGGAATGGAAATGTGAAATCAACAGTTACTTTCCTACAATCACCTGACAAAGCTGGATTCCTTGTACTGTTTATAGTACAGAAAGCTGCTAATTGCTGCATATTTATACTTTGTCGTACGGTTTATACTTTGGCGCACATCAGGATTCCAACGAAACAACACAAAAACAGCGTGGTTGTATTATACACGTAATCCATGTACGCTTGGAAATAGGTTGGCAACACTTAAAGATAATAATAATACCATAGGCCAGGCTAAGCAACACAAGATAATACTATGAGCAGCTGATTGACAATAGTTTCGGTATTTCTGAACTTTCTGGACTTTTCTTTTAAACGTTTTTAAAACATTCCTACGATCTTAATAAACGAGAAAATACCTTTAAAGCATTTTTTAGGTGCGGAAACCACTTCAAATTACAAAAACATACGGAACTATTTTCTCAAGTCGCGGAGCACATTTCTTGTCGAGGAAAAATAGCGGAGTGATACGGACCGGGTACTACTTTCTCTAGGGCACCTATTTGTGTTGCCAGCTGAACCTAAAAACGTGTTGTATAGTGTTTGAAAGACTAATTATTTATATGCTTTTTAGTGACTGTAGGAAAAATATAATGTGTAACACGAGTGCAAAAGGCCTTTGCCCACTAACACAAATAACTATTGTCGACTGTCGTATGGTTTATACTTTGGCGCAGATCAGGATTCCAACTAAACAACACAAAACAGCGTGGTTTTATTATGCACGTAATCCGTGTACCGTACGCTTAAAAATAGGCTGGCAACACTTAAAAGATAATAATACTATGATCAGCTGATTGACTATTATAACTACGATCAAAGAAAATAGAAAATAGAAACCTAAAGGTTCTATATTCTGTGCTACGATCTACGATATAACCTCGCCTGCAGGTCGTGCGTAAACATTGCTCTCGTGTGCAGCAAAGTGCAACTTTGCTCACTAGTCACACAATAATAACTATTGACACTCCTGCTTGTTTACATTTAAACTTAGTGTGTTTGCTCTTTGTTATCATGGAGACCAATCAATTAACTTTTAAAACTCTCACCTCAGAACTTTTGAAAGCCCGCGGGGCAGAGTCCTATGTCAATATTGAAGTGGGAATAGTTATATGTATCCTCGCCGAAAAAAATCCTCCGGAGCTTTATTTTTGTCCAATTTAAGCTCAGTCAGTACAGTAATTTTTGAGTTTATCTCATACAGCCAGACAGACACCACCTCTTCTTTATAATAGTATAGATAGTAAACCTTATTAGTAGCTTTTCTTTGGGGTCGCCGGAATTGTACCCCCCACCAATCGTTGACCTAGGGGAGAACAATTCCACCCCACTTTGTTTTGAAATGAAAAATGCCATTATTTAAGAGGCGAAGTTAGGACGTAAGTCATATCTACCACTTAACCTCTAAAACATAAATAAATAAAAACTTATTCACTTATTGTTTTTAACGAAATCTAAATCTAATATATTTTATGTGGGCAAGTGATTTGAACTGGATACTTATATTATAAATTAAAAAGAGCAGGAGATGTACGGCCCGGAATTGTACCCCCTGCCAGCATCAAATTATTTATGTACGGGGTCGAATTGTACTCCCCATCAGATAGCCAAATGTGTACGGGGTGGAATTGTACCCCCCTCTTGAACAGATAGCTTGGCTTGTGTACGGACTAGAATTAATTGTACCCCCTGTAAATAAAAAGTCAACCCCCCTCTAATATGTTTCTAAGTAGATATATAGAGATATCCTTTTAGTGGTCGTGCACTTAGCAGGAAGTTTCATTTTATGATTTTTACATAATAGATGATGTTTAGTAAAAAACAACAAACAAAACAAAAAACAATCACACACGCAGCAGACAGACACCACCTCTTCTTTTATAATAGTAAAGATTATGAAATAGTGTTCAAATTGTCTACGGCTCTGCTTTAGTTACGCCATAGTTACGCTTTTGACAAAATTTGAATGAACATCCAACCGATTATTGAATCAATTTTATTTTAAGACGCCACTATTTTGCTTTCGTTTACCAATCATTATCTTGGGTGCAGTTTCTTGTCCAAACTATTCTCTAAATTTGAATTGATTGATTACACTGTCATATTTTATTATGCATCGAAACTTCATTTCCTCAGTAAGTGCAAACAAAGGTGCAAACTTTGTTAGTTCTCTTTGTACTGTCTAGTTTTTGGAGGGAAATTGATTTGTTCTCTGAAAATCTCCACCCTCCCTGGACCTGGAACCTACTAACTACTGACTGAAGCGAAGCGAAGCCGCGGAAGCAAAGCTAGTAAACTAAACTGAACTGAAATGCCGAAATGGTTGTCAGCTGTTTGAGGTTATGTTGTTAACTGAAGTAGAGCTGGATTATACAAAACTTACCTATTTTTTCAATTAACTTAGTTATTTCTTTAATACCGTAAGTGTGTGGTCCTTATCAAAACAAAATGCCATGTGAAATGATAACATTGCAACTTGGCCAGTGTGGTAATCAAAGTGAGTATGAGACTCTAGCCTAGGGTTTGATGTAAGTTAGGCCTATAATTTAATGTCTTCGAAGATTTTTAGGTCTGACGCCAAGCCATTATATAGGTAACAGTAGTACAAATTTAACATAGCCTATTGTCAAACAAAAAGTTGTTTAATCTGTATTGTTCCTGGGGAGATTCATTGTTTTAATTATGTTGAGTTTTACCAAATTCTCATGAAAATATGTTATGGTGTACACACCCACACCAAGCTCTGCTGCAGGACCGTTGAATTCCTAATAAGTTACACACCAGCCTGACTGAGACGTGATTCAAACCCTCAATCTATGATGTCTCCTGGCCAGAGGGACGCCATTATATTATTTTACAAACTGATCAACCTTTTAGTTTACCACACTAACAATAGGCCTAGTAAACCCAAATCCAAAGTATATCTTGTTCTAACTTAATCTTGACTTTCTGCTTACAGTGTATGTCGTTAGGTACATTAACTTACTTACAGCTCCTAACATAGCACAAGAATCAATGTGAGTCAAGATTGAATCAAGCAATGTGGTTCTGATTCCACTATAAACTGTAGGTCCCTTAGTTGTCATTGTATAGGCCGTTAATTAACAGCTGTGTCTAAGGAATATGTCAGCCTTAGTCACTAACAAGACTACAACATCGCGCCACTCATCCTTCACTCATATTTGGGTTATAATACGCACATAGTGGCGTCCCTATCTTAAAAAATTGATATAGCCTAATTGAATTGATATCTTCGCTTAGCTTAGTAACTTTTTTCTGTGATAAGTCCATGGGGAAGTTATCTGTGGTTTGAATAAAATTACCCCTGATGTACCCAGTCAACACATTGACTTACTACACAGTTTATTTGATATAGGTAGGCTATTCTTACTTACCTATTTTTCTTGAATTATTCTCACAAGTGGTATGATACTTCTTTAGCAACAATTTCAAATTGTGAACGAAGTTGCTCGATAAATAAGTCCATTTTAGTCTGAATAGTCATGACAAAATATCTTCATCATAGCTGTGACTAATCTGTCATTGACATAGGGTGCAACAATGATTTTTCCAGCAGGGATAGGACAAATGTAGACACAGGGATCTTCACGGCAGTGTTAAAATCCTTTCATGAAGTCATCAAACCGTTTATTTCAGCACCGAGGTGCCTGTTTCAGGCCGTATAAGCTGCGTTTGAGACAACAAACACACGATTTCTCCCACCTGAATATCCTTCAGGCTGCTTCATAAAAATCTCTTCTTCCACGTCCCCCTACAAGAACGCAGACGTCATAGAACCAACTTCTCAACAGCTCTACGATGGACAGTATTGATCGAACGACCTCCAGACGAGCAACCAGGCTGAAGGTTTCAGCATAATCAATACCAAGTCTTTGCGCACATCCTTTGATGACCAATCTTGCCCGATATATGTCAACACTTCCATCAGGGTTGCACTTTATTCGGTAGACCCACTTGTTGTTGATAGTCTTCTTTCTCAGAGGGAGTTTGGTCAATTCCCATGCACCGTGTATATGCATAGATGCAATTTCTTTGTCCATTGCCGTTTTCCATTCAGCACTATCCTCTGAACTGATGGCTTCAGTATAAGACTTTGGTTCATTGTCAACAAGAAGATCTTCGGCAAAGTTTGACGAGATGTAATTGTTTAGCCACTCAGGTTGCCTTCTTTCTTGAGTCGAGTGCCTGGTTGCAGGATCATTGGATAGCTCTGCATCTTCACTACCTCTGCTACTTGATTCGTTTGTGTCCTCAGTTTGTGTAGGCTCATCATCACCCTTCACTGGAGAACTAGGCTCGTCAATAGTCTCTTTTAACTTCTTTGATGTGATTGGTTTTCTCAATCTTGATGGGCCACTCAACTTTCTTGTCACAATCTCCGACGATTTTGTGAAAAAAGATGTCACGTGAAACTACAACATCTCTCCTCTCTGGAACATAGATCCAATATCGTTCATCGCCGTCGTATCCAACCAGGTAACCAACCTCAGCTTTCCTGTCCATTTTCCGCCTCTTTTGCACAGAAAAATGGACGTAGCACTTTAAGCTGACGACTCGCAGATGTTTGATCCTCGGCTTTTGACCGAACCAGAGCTCAAAGGGTGATTTGTTAGCAACTGCTGACTTTCCCACTCGATTCAAAACTTAGCCAGCAGTGATGACAAGTTCCGCCCAGATTGCAGGAAATGTCACATTTGGATTGGCGTACTTGAAGGTCCGGGCTATTTCGACGATTGTTCTGTTCTCTCTCTCCACAGCACCATTTTGTTTGGATGTATATGGCGTTGTCAGATGTTGGTTTAAGTTACACCATATTCTCTGAGAATTTGATGAACTTCGGCATTGTCAAACTCACCACCGTTGTCAGTTGTCACTAAGAATCTCTCTGACGTGATGACCAATTGTGCGAACTTTAGCCTAACCAACACTTCACGCAACGCTTCCTTGACAGCAGTTTTTTCCCTTGGGACAAAACAGTATCATTACCCTGAAAAGTGGTCTTTTATCAAGTATCGGCGACCTCTGAAGTATGGGTCAAACAGGCCACAAACATCACCGGATAACAACTCACCTGGGGCTGAGGGGCGTTCTCGTGTTCCAATTGGTGGACGGTGTGCATTTCCGAACTAACACGGTTCGCAGATCTCGTAGTTGGCTGGCACTTTGATACCCATTTCGGATTCGAGCTTTGATCGGACGTTTCGTTTATCAATGTGACCCCAGCGCGTCTTCTGCTGCATTAGCCCAAACCTCAGACAGTTGAACTGTGTGAAATGAGGCACGATACAAAGTTCCACCACAGTTTCAAGTACCTTTGAATACAGTTTGTTAGTTAATAGTGAACCGACACTCGGTATTAGTCGATTCAAACTTGCTAATTAGGATTTCGATCATTGGCTGGGAGAATGGACACCAAGTTCCGAGAAGTTCGCTACCTACCTTAACGACTCTACTGCCAAGAGCTATTATAACTTCCTTTCCCGCCGCCTTAACTGTTGCGTTCGAGTTTGCTGGAAAACGTTTGTTTTCAGTGAACCAACTTAGACTTGACGTAATGTAAGCACCATTGTCGATCCACCACTGGTCGTTCGTAGTCATGATATCCATATCACTGCTGATGGAAATCAGCGCACTTTGGTTTTCGGTCACGATAACTTGTGAGCCCTTCGCTTTCTTCTGATCAGTGGAGTGTCACTCGTTTTTAAGCTAGTGCTAATGCCGTTAGCGGGAGCTGAATACGCAGGCTTGCCGTCAGCTTTCCATTTAGTACACTGGCAAATCCAATGACCTTTCCCCGAACAGTATTTGCACAAAGTTTCACCTTTTGGTTTCCCATTCTTCTGACCACCGCTGTTTGTGGCTCTAAGAATCTCACCAGCTTTTGACGTAGGAGCAACATTACGCTCATGAAGGATCAATGCAGATGAAACATCTTGAAGTTTCTTGCTCTTTTTGACTTCATAAGCAAGTAGCTAGACTAATAGATTTAAAGGGCTTCGACAAAATGTGTAACACCTTTGACACAAACAGGAGCTCAAGAAAATCTTCGACTGTTTGGATGTTGTGTGTTATGAGGCCAGCTGCAAATTCTCGGTTTTGATTCTGCAATCTTGAAAGCACGTTTGGGCATCCTCGGTATCATCCCAATGCCTACTGAAGAAATTCAAACACTGACGAAACAACTGATCTTCTGCCTTGTTATAGAAACTGCTCGACCAAAATGTCCCACGCTTCCTTAGCTGATAATCTTCCGGAAATACGTTGATGTAGATCATCACTAACACACTGAGAAATTACTATTTTTGCCTGAGTCGTGGATTTGTTGAATTTCTCAAGTTCTTCCTTTTCGGCTGTAGTCGGAGGCTCAGAGAGGGTAGGCTTTTCTCTTTTTCCCTCGACGATATCAACCGCGTCGAACAACTCTAGAATGCCCAACACTTGATCTTTCCACATCGGCCAATCTTCTACTCCTTTCAATGGTTTTATACCTTTCACGTAGGTATTTCATTTGTGGAGCTGGACGAACTCGATCGAAAGATATTTTAAAGAAATACTCGTGAGACAGAAAATCGCGTCAGAATAAATAGTTTTTACCATGTACGTAGTAGACTATATTTCCCAACACTGTTATGTACATAAAACGATGCTGGCGACCATAATCTCTTGAATTATTCTCCCAAGTGGAGGTGTTTAGGAAAAATCTAAGTTATAACGACGATAAAAAAACGAATTTAAACTATAAAACAAGCAAATGTATTTCTCATCAATGTTTACAAGATACATAACAAATTTGAACAACAAACAGACAGCTGATAATTAATTTAAAAAATGGTACACTAGTGGAACCCTAGGTAACTAGGCAGGCATTTTCAACAATTTTAACTTAACCACCTATTGGAGTTATAATTAAGGATTTATAATCTTAATACTTTTCTAGTTGGCTTTGAATTTTGGAAGAAATTATGTGCTGAACATGGAATTAATCCGGAAGGGATTCTTGAAGATTATACAACCGAGGGAGTGGACAGAAAAGATGTATTCTTTTACCAGGTGGGCCTTCATTAACAGGATTACTTGGAAGTCTTTTATGATTTTATGCAGGCTCGGAAAAGTTTTATTCACTGTTTCCCCATATTTATTTTACTGTGCTATCTACAATTAGGCCCTATTGTTACAACTTGCAATTTTGATGTTTGTTCCCAAGAAAACTATGTTGCCGCTTAAGACTTTAAAGCTAAGTTGACATATAGGATAATAAAATCAAATACCTTATAGTAGGTACTTTTTCCTTTTAATTCTTTTTCTTTTCTTAAGATTTAACTTAACATAGGCTACAAGTTACTTTAGAAACTTATTACTAAGTGTTGCAGGTTGGTGTTGAAATAAATCATTTCCCTCTTTCTTAAACATGTTAGGGCCAATATACATTTCCAGCTATCTTTTTGTTAGAATACAGTGCAGTAAAATTCCAAATTTCAGATGGTAACACTTGCAAGTTTTGTAAATAGACTAAAGTGAACTCTATCAAAAATAAAATATTTAATTTAATTTTGCTTTTAAGTTGATTTTTTCAAGTTTAAGAAAACTCAAACATTTGTTGCTTGGTTATAATCTAAAACTGTTTATACTTTATATGTGGTACAGGCAGATGATGATCACTACATTCCTCGAGCCGTCCTTCTTGACTTGGAACCCCGAGTGATACACACGATTATGAATTCTCCATATGCAAAGGTAGTACTTCATTAGAATTATTCAAACGTAGAGACATCTAAACATGGATCAGGTATAGCCATTTTCCTAGCAGCCAAATTTAGCATGGGCTATACAGGGTGTCCCTGTAAATAGGGATAAGAATAATTCAAACATTTTCCCACTAAAATACTCAGGGATTAAAATGGGGACCTTTAATACTCAGGGGCCTTTAAAATGAGGTATAACACGACCCCCCTTTACATTTGAAAATCTCCCAAGAACCACCCCCATCCCCCGTAATCTGCCCTTTTGGGTGCTTTTTTGAGTTTAAAAATAATTTTGCTGAATTCTTTCTTCTTGAATTCTTACCCTAAATACTGATAAACGCTAGCTCTAAGACATTTACACAACTCAGCAGTTGAGTTTGGCGGATAGGATTACCCGCCTCAACTAAAGCAATTAATTGTTGTGTAGGCCTATAGAAGTTACGTTCATGAATATTGAATTTGGTAAACTGTCAAATTTATACTTGATTTTACTTAGGATGATAGTTTAATCAGAAAATGAGGAACTCAGTGGATATTAGTTTGGTTAATAAAATACGTTAATGGTTTGCTGCATCGGTCATAGTTAATACAAGGGCCTACTCATACAATCTATTTATGTTGTTACAGTTGTACAACCCAGAGAATGTGTATCTGTCAAAGCACGGGGGCGGAGCAGGTAACAACTGGGCATCTGGTTACAGCCAGGGTGAGAGACTTCATGAAGAGATCTTTGATATCATTGACCGAGAAGCCGACGGCAGCGATAGTCTTGAGGTAACAAAAAATTGCTTCCCTATCAACAGTTTAGTATCACACAGTCCTTTTTACATAGTAAAATAATCATAGTTTAAGCAAATAATCTTTGACTAATCCGTAGTTAAACACATAGGTAGTATTTAAAAAGGATAGCAGTGCAATCAGGTATATATTATTTGTTCAAAACTTTATAATGTTTTCTTCTGGGAAGGCCCATATAACATTGTTGTACTGTATCCTCCATCAAATTAGACCCTGTGTAAAGCCACATGAGTAGTTAGCAAATTAACAATACAACTCTGTATCACCCAATTTGTTTTTCCTACAGTTACCTAACAATGTACATGTTCTCTCACTGATTTGAGAAAGCAAAGTGGCCAATTCGCTCATCAGTGAGACAATGTTAACATTGTCTCACTCTAATTACTTTGTCTCACTCCAGATTTGCAACGTGAATGCACGAAATAGTGAGCGCGTAACATGCAGGCAACGTCGTATGTGCGCGAAATACGTTGGCAGCACTGGCTGTAAATCAGCTGGTCAGCTGTTGTACTGTTGTATTTGTCACTTCACGTTCATGTTATATTAAAAGTTCAGTTCTGTGTAAAAATAGGTTATGTTTCTTCACCAATTTATTTGTTTTATGGTAACTGTAGGAAAAGTATAATGTGCAACTCGAGTTCAAAGTACAATTGCCTCACTCAAGAAACCATTCCTCACTCGCCTACGGCTCGTGAGTAAGGATTTCTCTCGAGTGAGTCAATTGCTCACTTTTCTCACTAGTTGCACAAATAACTATTTTCTAACATAATTCAATTTTAACCAAGTTACAATATTGTTCACTTTTCTAGGGATTTGTTTTATGCCATTCTATTGCTGGAGGAACAGGATCAGGAATGGGTTCGTATCTACTTGAGAGGCTCACCGACAGATATCCCAAAAAGATAATAGAAACATATAGCGTATTTCCCAACCAAGATGAAATTAGGTAAGTACCCATTGATTGATAATTTAAATTTTTTGTTGCGGGGGGGGGGGGCAGGAGGCTATTTTGACCTGTTGATATTTGTAGCACCCCTCAGCTCACTCTGACAGACCAAGGCTTTTGGTATAGCCTCAATGTCTACTATCTGATTTAGCCACTCCTCATGCAAGCTTTAAAAGTACTTAGCCCTCATAAGTAATGTGTTTTAATTTTTTTTTTTTTATTATGTCTGCCTATTAGGCTACTTTAGATTCTCACATTATTGTCATTTGACCTATACTATAATTTCACTTATTACTAGGCCTACTATTATCATTTGAGAATTTCCCTTAACATACCCAAGATGAAGTCCAAGTGTACTAGTGGTAAGCTTCATATCTCTCAGGCATTATTATCATTACATGTTAAGGTGTGTTGTTTGGGTGGGAAATAGCAGGTGGTCCAGTTTTATGGGGCCCAGGGTCCAATCCGCCAACTGATAAAGTTATAATACTGTGACCCAATGGTCAGAAGCCATTAATTGTGCAAAATGGATATATAACTTATATATCTTTTTGATAAAGGAATGACCACTTATTAAAGATGGCTTAACATGTATGATAACTATTGTTGAACTGTGTAGTGATGTGGTCGTGCAGCCATACAACTCTCTGTTGACACTCAAGAGGCTGACCAAGAGTGCGGACTGTGTGGTAGTACTGGACAACACTGCACTCAACAGAATAGCCACAGACAGACTACACATACAGAACCCTTCCTTCACTCAGATCAACTCTCTTGTGTCTACAATAATGTCTGTCAGCACTACAACTCTCAGGTAAACGCAAATTAAAAACAAACAAATTAAATACAAGCAAGCCTGGCTTGGTCTCTTGGTTTTTCATACAATGAACACAACTTTTTAAAACCAACTGACATCATTCACACACAAATTCAGACAGTCATTCACACATTAATTCAGAGTTTGCCGTGACCTTGGTAGTTGTAAACAATTTTGCTGTGATCACAGAAGATGTCCTTGATTTCCCGTGACCGTGGAAGACTTTCATGATTTCCCTGTAACTGTGTAAGACGTTCACAATATTCAGCTAAGCATAGAAAATATTCTAGATTTTACCATGACCTTGAAGATGTCCACAATGTGACCGCAGAAAATATTCATAATTTCTCCGTGACTGTAGAAGATGTTCACTATTTCACAGTGACCATGGACGATGTTCATGATTTTACCGTGATATGGAGAGATTATGTACACTATTTTTTATAAACTTATTGTAGTATGACAAATGACAATTATTATTTTTTTAAATTATTGATACTTTCAAAAGCAACCCGATTTTTGCCCAAGCCAGAGGACCTAAATTTTGACCCAATCTAAATAAAAATGTCTGGCCTGCACACCCCTACTTGATGGTGTATGCTTTTTACTCTTTAAAAAAGTTACCATTCAGTTGCATAACAGTGACACCATTGCCTTGGTTATCTCTCTACTTGCGTTACAGATACCCTTCCTACATGAACAATGATCTTATTGGATTGATTGGTCCTCTCATTCCAACTCCAAGACTTCACTTTCTGATGACAGGCTACACACCACTGGCCAACGAACACGAGGTATTGATGTTCTCAGACTCAATAGGTAGCCGTTATAGAACTTAAATTATGAAATTCCATAATTTAATTTGTACAAATTACAAATATATTATATACGGTTAACCTCCTCTTATTCAAACACCTAGCTGTTCCTAATCATTGAGTCCTAAATAAATGATCCTGGCTAATGAAACAGCTGATCTTAGTCAGTGACAAAGCTGAACAGATCATCTCACTCCATTCTTAACTCATAATTGGATTATAGCTATTTACCTTACAAGTGTAGTAAGAGCGTTTTTACATCATGCAGGTGAATGTTGTGCAACGAGCGGAAGCGAGTTGCATAATTTACCTAAGTGATGTAAACACGCTCTTGCGTAACGTGTAACGTACAAGATTTTACCTGACCCGACAATATACAGAAGGTTACGAACAATATTTTTCATTATCCATTTCACTCATCTTCTAACAGTAACGTTCATTTACAAACAAAAGCTAGGTTAGGAAAATTCTTCAAAACATAACAATAACATTCAAGCGCACAGCTTATTTCTAGCGTTAAACGTCGTTGGCTCCATAGAGGTATGTTTTTTTAAGTTAGGCACTCAATGTTATTTAAATGGGTTTCATTACCTCACCGAGTGAGTTTTTTTTTTAACTTTACATCACTCGAGAAGTAAAGAAGTTGTATACATCACGCTTGGGATAGGGAAGTTTAACATGGCGGGTTAGGTAAAAATTTAAAATATACACCTAGGTTGTGTCCCCATCTCAAGTGATAATGATAATAATGATAAACAACAAAAGTTTAAAATCATAAGAGTACTAGATGGATACATTCCAGACATATGTTAAAAAAGGTAAACTACATCACTTACCATGCTTAACGCACGATAAAAAAATACATCCATAGGTGCAAAGCATCAGTAAATAACATGTGATTTGTATGTTTATGTGGCTATGGACAAAATGGGGTGTTGTGTAAGTGAGAAATTCATATATAATATTTTAGTGAAAAATTTCAATCAGGCAAGTTATAAATTCGCTTAGTCTGCCAGTTTGCTGTGGCGGGGTATTTTTAAATCTTGGTGATTTAAGCGTTAAGCAGCGGGGAAGAAAATATTGACCCATGTACCTTGTGAAAGACAAATAAAATAATTGATTTCCCATTGGTAGGCTACTTCTATTCGCAAGACTACAGTACTGGATGTGATGAGGAGACTGCTTCAGCCCAAGAACATGATGGTGTCAACAGCACTGGACCGAAACTCAGATCATTGCTACCTCTCAATACTAAACATCATACAGGTGAGGAAAACATGTTATTCAATCCAAGCCTATCAGGAAAGAAGGTTGTTAATTGCTTAAGGTGAGTCGTCATTTATAAAAAAATATACTAGTGGTCGTCCAGTGGTCGAAAACTCCACCAAAAATATGTAATGTACAGGCTTCTTTATTTTTACCCCACACTGTAAAAAAACATGTGATTGTAATTTCTTTCATTTGTTTTGATTTTATATTTTATGTTTTTATGTTTATATGTTTTTATGTTTATATTTTTTTGTTATTTCGTCACCAGCATGTCAACCCATAAGGCCCGTGTTATTTTTTTATTTCAAATTCATTTTTGTCCTTTTTTTTACCTATTTTATTAAAGGGATTCTTCATTCTTTAGTTAGATATCTTTCTAACAGTATGCGTAGATTTTCCCTGCGATGCACACAAGCTGAGGAAAAAGGTTTTAAAGAAACATGCTTGCCTATTAATATATAGATAGATTGCATATATTTTCATCTTATACCTGCGCAGGTAAAACGTTGCAGTCAAGTTGTTGCGTGTAGACAGTAAAACTGTGCATTTTTTGAGAACTGTGCGGAAACGCACAAAACTATTGAAGAGAGCATAGTTTTGACGTTTTCACTGTTTTCAGACAAGTCGTTGCGTGTTTACACTGTCATCAGTTTAGACTCCAATCTCCAGTGTTGTCTTCACGTGCTGTCAGAGAGATAAGTGTTTTTTACGATGGCAGATCTTTGCCAAAGTTCCCGTGAGTTTATTGCCAAATTCATCAAACTGTACAAAAGTTTTCCTTGTTTATGGAAGATCAAGAGTAAGGAATATAGTGACTGTGATAAGAAGAATCAGGCTTAGAGTCTTTTCTAAAAATACAAAGCAGTAGATTCAAATGTGAACAGAGAAACGATTATGAAAATGTTTGTCGATTTAGTAACCAAGGTCTTGACCATATTGAGCGTTGTCATCGCTCAGACTTATTTCTTTGCTTTCTTGCAACACTGACTGCAAAAATTGACCACAATAACACATCTTCAATTATTATATGCACATACACTGAAAGTTATCACAAAACTACATTAAAAATTTGTGCTGAAACCTGTACTGTGTGTACCCATTTCTTTGCAATGACTTGACTGCAACTGCAACGTTTTACCTGCGCAGGTAAAACGTACACGAAATCCTTTAAAAGCGTGTGGACCGGCCTTAACAAATTTTTACTTTTTGATGTCCATGATTTGTTTTGGAGTCATAGCTAGGTTTTTAACAATGTTTTTTGTTCTTTCTTGGTAATGTCTCGCTTGAGAAGAGAATCGGATTGATGGTACCAAAAATTTGTTAAAATTAGCCAATTTTAACTTATTCGTGAGGAAAATGTCTGCAAAACTATAGTAAAATTTCACTACAGTAGAGCCACGCTAATCCGACCTCAGCTAGACTGACTCCTTGCTTAATCCGACAGTGCCATCGCTCATCAATGACAATGTTATTGGGGTAATATCGTGGCCATTTCCCCAGGCGTGTGAAAATGATAACCGTCTCCCGCAGTCACGGAAATATAGTCATCGTCATTACGAGCACAAAAACGTTTGTTATCCCCCAAAATTACGTCCAAATGTAGGACCTCTCCTGCTTTAGCGGAAACATTGTCATCATCTACCGCGATCCTGGTAATATATTGAACAACTCCAGAACTTGCGAATACATTATTATCGTCTCCCGTGATTACAGAAATTTTAAAGTTGTTACCTACAATCGCAGCAAACTCCTAATTATCTCCTGTGGTATGAGAAACATTATCACCGTCTACCGCAATCGTAGCAAAATATTGCACGGCTCCATGCATACCCTATGCAAAATCCTGCATACCTTCTGCGGTGATGGAATCATCATCATCATCTGCCGCGATCCCATAAAAATCCTGAACATGCTGCTGGCGCTGCACATCTGACCTTTTCTTTGTTCCGGCCATTGTCCTGGTCTCTACATGACCAGGCAGTACTGTATATGTTTTTACCAAAGTTGAATATTTTAAAAGTTCATCCCAGGATGATCGAAGTTTAATTATTTTTAACAGGTTGAGAAAAAGGGTTTTTTTTAAACAAGTAGTCTGTAACTTGAATTACAAAATGTGTTGATTTACAGGGAGAGTTAGACCCGACCCAGGTACACAAGTCACTTCAGAGGATCAGAGAGCGTAAGCTGGTACAGTTTATCCCGTGGGGTCCTGCCAGTATACAGGTGGCTCTCTCCCGTAAATCACCTTACGTCCCCACCACCCACAAGGTCTCCGGTCTCATGCTTGCCAACCACACAAACATATCTTCCGTGAGTACCTATTAAAGTATAAATAAAAGATGGGCGTGTTTTGAGTCAACTTTGTTTGCCGAGACAAATTCAATTTTTAAAACCCCAATGATACAAAAAAACTGTGCCAAATAAGAAACAGCTTAATTTTTTTCTTAGGTGAACTTTTGTCAATGTTCTGATTAGTTAAAAAAATTATTACAATTGTGCTTCAATTTTACCTATGTGGTTTTGTGATTGATGTTAATTTTTATGTAACAAAAAAACTAAAAGAAGTGTTTGTTGATTTTATGATTAAAATTTGTTTGATGGTGATTATAATACTACTAGTGTCCCTGTTGCTCGAAATCGAGCAATTGCTAAGTATTACAGGCGTTATTTTAAACGAATAACAGTCATAATTTTTGATGACTTTTAATAAGAATCGACTCAAAGATAATGGAATACTCAAGATGTACATACCAGATCGATACAATCAACATTTCTTCTAATTATCTTATCATTTTTCAACTGCTGATCTGTTTTTTTAGTGTTTTCTACAAATATCCTAACTCATAGCCGCTTTAGGTTGTCCATAATAACGATTATAAATATAAAATACCCCCGCCGCAGCAAACCTGCCGTCTAAGCGAATTTCCATTTGGCTGAATTGATTTTCAATTTATCTATTTAAATAACATTAGGTTTAACGAGTACCTAGGTTTGCTGCTACAAGGAAACTAATAAAGTACGTGCTTTAAGTAAAATAATTATTGCTTCGTATAAAATGAATATATTTGCCAAGTTTGATCAAAAGATATCCATAAACAAGCAAACTACAACATTTTACAATATTCTCCATAAGAATAACATGGGAATTTTAAATTTACCATTTTTTTTTATTTTCTCCGTAACCAATTACTGTACAAAAACACTTTGATATACTGAATTGTTTGTTTTTTAAAGCTCTTTAAGAAGGTTTAGAGAAAAATTGGGAAATTTTGTGTATTGAGGGTCAAAAGTGAGAAAAACCAATTTTTACCCCATAAAACCCCCCATAAAACCCTGTTCCCATGATCCGATCATGCTGGATCGCGAACTCATTCAAGTTTATCCCGCCTTACACCTTCAAACCAAATTTCATCAAAATCGGATAAAAATTACTCAAGTTATCGTGTTCACGGACACATATATATATATATACATATATAAAAATTTGAACGAATGGTGTTTTTGGCCTCTGGGGACACCAAAATGAAAAAGTAAATCGGTCCCGGGCCTAAGTCTTACCATGAGACCTACGGTAATAGCTACTTCCCTATAGGGAAATTCGCTAAAAAAAACACATTATTTCTATTTCTTCTCCTTGGTGGTGTTCTATGACTTTCTTATGTTTCCATAGTTTGCAAATCGGCTCTTTCAATGATTACTAAGAAATGCAGCATAGTGTTAATTCAGTTTTCTTTTTAGTACCTATATAAATCTATCCAGGCTCTCGTTTTTTTCCATTGCAATATTTATGCCAACCCAAATTCAAATAGTAACTATTTCATTTCAACCAAATAAGTAAATGTTTGTAGCTAACTAACTGTTAAATTAGCAAATTTATTGACTGTTTACAATTACCATATGTTCTTCTTCTCACTTTTAATTTCTGACAACAGCTGGAGTTTCAAAACATTTTTTGTTTCCCATGTTAATCTTATGGAGAAATGTGAACTTTTAAAGGGCCCCAGGGCCTCACCCTCTAATTATTTCCAAAAAAAGAAAGTTTCCTGCACAACTTCACGTTAAGCTCTTTCCAATGACACCAAGAACATGTAAATCGGTTCAGTAGTTTCGGAGGAGTAATTGTCTCCAAAAACCTGCTTGCGTATTAAATAAGTATAGATAATTTAAAGATGAATGTATTTCTGATCATCATTGGTAAAAAGTACTACTAACTAATTTACATTTATTTATTCAGCTTTTTTTCATAGTCATTAATTCAATTTGTTTATAGACTTACCACTTACCACCACTAAAACTAGATTGGCAGAGGATACGCGTCCGGTAACCGGACGTGGATTAGACGTCCGGCAATTACTGTCATAACCTAACCTAACCAACCAAACTTGCTGATAATGAAAAAATCGAATTAAGGTTAAATTCTTTCTCTATTAGAAAATTATAAATGCCAAAAATTCTAATTAAAGATGTACAGTTAAGAATAAATGGTATTCAATGCAAAATCTTCGACAAAAAGTTAATGTCACCAATGGGACTCGAACCCTGGACCTCTTGCATATCAGCCGAGCATCTTATCCACTACACCACGACCACCGATGGTTGGCGATGGTATTGTTGTAGTAAAGGCGTTCCAGGTTCCCGCAACCCCATGACGTCATTGCCGTACGCCTTATCCACGCCCGGTTACCGGACGCGTATCCTCTATGAACTAGATTATTTAAGAACAAAATATGTTTACAAATACTAGTTTATTTCCCTTAGTCCAGAGATTGCCTGGATATCTTATTTGTAAAATCTTTGGTTATTTGGATATGCTGTTTGTACAGTGCAGCTGTGGAAAGCTTATGGTAATGAATAATATCAATAACAACAACCTTAATCATTAATTTAGGTATGGTGCTAAAAAAAAAAAAAAAAAAATAGAAAATATCAAAATTTAAACTGTGAGATTTTAATATTACCAAGCAGTATTCTTAAATGTTGTTAAAATAGTATCTTGCCATGCATTAAGAACCTCTGGTACTATCACTAGTCATCCTGAAACTACACTTGCTCTTCTCTTGCAGCTGTTTGATCGAGCTCTTCAACAGTACGACAAGCTTAGGAAGAGAGAAGCCTTCTTGGAGCAATTCCGTAAGGAAGCCATGTTTAAGGACAACCTAGATGAGCTGGATCACTCCAGGGAGGTTGTACAGGAGCTGGTAGATGAGTACTGGGCGGCTACCAAGTCTGACTATCTCACCTGGACCAGCAGTCGTTCTGTGAGTCATCCATAGGAACGTTGAGACTCTAAAATATACCAATTTAACTTTTAGAAGAGACCATCCTCTGTGGTTATTTTGATATCAAGAACATCTTCCACAGTCATCATCGCTTCCTACGATCGAGGCAAAATTGTGAATCCTGGGATCAGTGCAACAAAAGTGTCATATTTTGATAGTGCATCTTCTCAAGCATCTTCTTAGACGCTTTTGTGATCGAGAAAATAAACATTCAGCTCTGCTCAAACAGATTCAAGCTTGGCCCAAAAACTATTTCCGACCCAAACTGATCCCTTGGGCCAACCGTGTGAAAAAAAAGTAAATTTCCAAGTACCGATCCCTGAAGGGAACCAAGTTATTTTGTTCAGAAAGTGACTTTTGTGATGTATGGTTTGTTCTTAGTGATGACAATATTTTTCAGATGTCACAAGGAACCCAACCATGTAATATTGAAAGTAAATTTTACAGTGAAATCTAACAAACTCTGCATCTGATAACCATCAGCTGTCCAGATGTTTTGGCAAACCCATAATCAATGTTTATAAAATTTTTAAAAATACATTATATTTACGACCCTAAACTACGGAACTTATTCAAAAGTTACACTTGCCTTTGCTATTTAAACTTACAGACATTAAGACTGGGACATGTGAGTCGCACATTCCTGACAAACGGAGCACTACAAATAATGATGATTTTTTTATAAGCTCTAACCTACATTTACTATCATTTAAATAGGTTGTAGTTTGTACTGGATAAATTAGTTCAAACTGACTAAGTATATTCATGTCCAATTCTAACTCAGATAGCATTAGTTGATTTTGGCAACAACCTTTTAAAACTTAAGCACACAACTACTATTGCTGATTGCTTAAATCTCTTTTATATATTTATATATTTTTTCCCCTTCCACATGGTCGTGTACTATAACTAAATTGGAAAGAACTGTATTGGTAAAACAGTTATTTTAGAGGCGTAAACTGTATTTCTATTCTAAATATACTAGAAATCTTTCTTAACAATAAGATTAGTCAATTGTAATATGAAATATCCCCGCCGCAACAAATCTGCCGACTAAGCGAATTTCCATTTGTCTGAATTGATTTTCCATCAAATGTATTTAAATAACATTAGGTTTAACCCTTTGGATCCCAATAATTTTACCTAGATTTAGTTGAGTAGTCCCGTGCACTTTGGCTTGCGTTGGCTGGGGCGGCCCAGCCATTTGATGCCAGCTGTTACTCAAGAATCCCAAGCCAATAATACCTGTTTTACACATGTTATGAAGAAACATTTATAACTCCCTTATTATTGCAGTTAGAAATACAATTTTTTTTTATTTTGAAGGCATTTGTATGTACGTTGCGACTGTGTAAATTGTAATAGTGTAATTTTTTTTTTTGTTGCAAAAAAAAAATTTTAATAATTTTTTTAATAATTTTATAAAAAAGTACCAATGAAATATGCGTGCTTCTTGACACTAATACTGAAACCCCGGTCTGACAGACCCACGGGAATTTTCACAAATGCATTATGGCAACACTGTTTACTTGGGAGATTCCATTCCCCCAATACCTTCCCCTAGAACCTTCCTTAGAAAGTTTTGAATTTTCTAACAAATTTAGTTCAAAAGGTATCAAACCGTTTCCAGACTTTTTTGTCACCCTGTATATAGATTATATTTATGTTTTCTGCAAATATTTCCTCAGACAATGTCTTTATCTGTCCTTTGATGTATTATTTGGGCATTTATTACGAGGATTAACAGAATTGCATAACAAATACTAAAAGCCGATGACATCGGCCCTCGGTTCTTTTCACGGCTAATTACAAAGCCGATCAGATCGGCCTGTGGGCATTTTAAAACCTATTGACAGAGCCGATGTAATCGGCCCTTGGGACCCAAAGGGTTAACGAGTACCTAGGTTTGCTACTACAAGGAAACTAATAAAATGTGTTTTTTAGTGAAATATTAATAACTTATAATAAATTAGCCAAGTTTGATCAAAATATATCCATAAACAACAAAACTACAACATTTTACAATATTCTCCATAAGAATAACATGGAAATTTTAAGTTTACAATTTTTTTTTAAATTTTCTCCGTTACCAATAACCGTATAAAAACTACTTACTATACTAAATTATTGGGGTTCTTAAGCTTGTTTGTTTTGTTGTGATTGAACTTCTTGAAATAAATATTTGATAGAAATAATGTATATTAAATGAAAAACACTGTGATGTGAACAAGAATGTCTATTGAATTACTGAAACTGTTTACAAAATTAATAATGAATATAACATGTGTTAACAACATCTGTTAAACAAAGTGCAAGAGAAAAAATTTATTTACAGACCAAGGGATAAAATAAAATTAAAAAGGCTTTAAAAAATTAAAAAGCTTTAACATTAAAAAGGTCTAGAGAGAAATTGAGAAATTTTGTGTTTTGAGTGTCATAAATGAGAAAAACCATTTTTTACCCCATAAAACCCCCCGTAAAACCCTGTTCCTATGGTCCGATCATGCTGGTTCGTGAACTCATCCAAGTTTACCCTGCCTTACACCTTTAAACCAAATTTCATCAAAATCGGACGAAAATTACTCAAGTTAAGGTTCACGGACGTATATATATATATATATATAAGTCCATATATACATCAGAATCAATAATCTTTATTCGGTCTGTATGTACATACATGAATAGAGTCAATACATACATATAAACCAATTTTAACGAATGGTGTTTTGGCCTCTGGGGACATCAAAATGAAAAAGTAAATCGGCCCCGGACCTAGGTCTTACCGTGCCACCTACGTTAATAGCTACTCCCCTATAGGGAAATTCGCGAAAGATTATGTATTGTAACATGTCTCATTTTGTGTAGTTAGCTATATTAGCGAATTTCCCTATAGGGAAGTAGCTATTACCGTAGGTCTCATGGTAAGACCTAAGCCCGGGACCGATTTACTTTTTCATTTTGATGTCCCCAGAGGCCAAAAACACCATTCGTTCAAATTTGTATATATCTATATATATATATATATGTCCATCCGCACGATAACTTGAGTAATTTTTGTCCGATTTTGATAAAATTTGGTTTGAAGGTGTAAGGCGGGATAAACTTGAATGAGTTCGCGAACCAGCATGATCGGACTATGGGAACGGGGGTTTATGGGGTAAAAATAGGTTTTTCCCATTTTTGACCCTAAAAACACGAAATTTCACAATTTCTTTTAAAACCATTTTGCAGAGCTTAAAAAAACAAATAATTTAGTATATTGAAGCGTTATTATGCGCCTATTTGTTAAGGAGAAAATTTAAAAAAATTGTAATTTTGAAATTCCCATATTATTCTTATGGAGAATAAGTCAACTGTTGTAGTTTGCTTGTTTATGAACATATTTTGATCGATTTTGGAAAATACTTTTATTTCTTACTAAACTATTATCAATTTATTAAAAAAAATCTTTTTCATCCTCCCTAATGCAGCAAACCTAAGTACTCGTTAAACTTATTCTATTTAAATAGGAAATTAATGTGCTATTTTTATGGAGGCATTTTAGTGTAAATCCAATCAGGTTAATGGAAATTCGCTTAGTCTGCAGGTTTGCTGCGGCGGGGGTATTTTATTCATTAACTGACTATGCTTTAATTTTAGCTGTTTCATGACATTGTCAATAATTTGTAAAAATTCTTAAGGCAATAAACATATTTAATATACTTCTTATTTCAAGTACAAATTATTGTAATAATTTGTTTGCTTTTCCACAGAAGGGCCAAGGTGACGCAGGAGAATGAAGATAAAAGAAGCTTGAGTCTAGATCCTCAACAACTACAGATCTGCCATCTAGGTCTATATTTATTTTTGTACATAATTTTGTATTGATATGTTTTACTAGTTAGTCTGTAAAATAAGTTTTCACTTTTTGATGAGTAATGTATAACAGATTTTTGTAAAATTATTTTGTTACCACCGTTATAAATATTGTTAGATATATAATCTTAAACTTAATTTTTGATAACTGAAAAGTCATCGTATATCTTTCATCTCCGTTAACTGTACTATTCAACATGTTAATGACTATTTAAATATTAATTTTTTAATAACTGAAATGTTATCTGTATCTTTCACCTACATTAACTGCACTAATTAATCGTGTCGTGTTGATGACTATTTGAACGTTTGTTTCGTAACCAACCATGACAGGTTGTGCTGTTGTTATTCCTCAAATGTAGAGATATAAAAAGTGCCATCTGTAGTATTCTAAAAAAATGATGTCTTCCTTTTATATGTTAAACAATTTCTTGACGACAAACCTTTTCCAACATGGAATCAAGAAAATATCTCAAGTAATTATTTTATATTCTTGAGTGTGGCAGATTGCGTGAAAATATAATAATAATATCTATGGTTCTTACCGTCAACGCAATCAGGGGTAATATTCCACTACGACCGTTTCGGAGATGACTCCATCGTCAGGTGCGTAGTGGTACACTAAACTATAGTCTTGTCACATTTAACACGAATTGTCTTCATTTGCATTGCGTCAAGGGTTGAATAAATAATACACATATAAGCACAGGACGGACACACGAAAACACGAATACGCGAAAACATTTAGAGCGTGTGCACGGCTTGAAAACTGACGACCGACTGTTCAATCCTGGTCACTGCAGGAGTTACATGGATGACTGGTAAGAACGTGCGTTGACGGTAAGAACCATAGATGTTATTATTATAATAATTTTATTTACATTTTGTCTAAAACATTGTTGTTTGTTACATGTCTAAAACTGTGGAATAAGACATCACAATTTTTGATTGAAAAATAATTTCTTGTAAAATGTTTTAGCTATACTTTTATTAGGTAAGGTATAAAACTTATTTTTTTTAACATTCCGTTTTGCACGTGTTGTTTTTCTAACAAAAATCACAATTTTATTACTTACCTTTTAATTAATTGTTATGCTTTATTTTCATTTTTAACAGCTTTATTGTTTCTCATAAACAAGTAAAGAGTGACATGAATTCATGGAACATAGAGTCTCAATAAACATAGTATTTTACCTGACTAGTACACATATTAACAGGAAGTAGAATTTGAGGTTTTAACTCAATCCAATGAATTGGCATTATAATTTTTTTTTTATAATCTTGTTATTTATGTGGTAATACAGTGTTATATGAGCTATAACTATCTACTAATAAATGTTTCAACTTTTAAATACATTATGTTATGTCTCCTTTTTCCATCTGGTTTTCACACTTCTCTGGTTTAATGTCACTTACACAATTAAATGACACACAAGTTGAATAATAAATTAATTTGTACAATTGAGCTAACAAACTAATTTGATTTTCTTGGAATTTACGCTTTTGATTGTCTTGCAACATTGACAAATGCATTTAAAATATCACAGTGGAAACAACTGTCATGATGTATTTATGAGGGTGGAATCCAACCCCCAAACTTCTCTCCGAGTTCCTTTGCGACGGCAAGACACAGCCTATCTTGGTTTGGTGCTGCAACTACCTGAAATTTCATAAAATCGATTACTTAAGAGAAAATTGTTTTTTTTTTTTACAATAAAACACGCTAGTTAGCAATACAAGTTCTTGTGTTTTGATCACGATTTTTAAGAGATACCTTTAAAATTACTATAACGTTTGTTTGTAATTACATAATAACAATTTAGCAGTCCAGTAATAGTGTAAAATAGAACCAATCATATCCAATCTCGGCATAACCGACTCCTCGCGATATCCAACCAAGACGGGTGATGCTGTAATCACGGCAGACGATTACCGCTATCGCCGAGGCCGCAAGATGTGCTCGTGGGTGGTTCAGCAACGGTGATAATTACCGGTGTCACAGAGACTGCAAGATATGCTCATGGGTGTTGCCGTGGTTGTTAGAGACGATTACAGGTGTTTACAGTGGTCGCAGAAAACGATTACCGAGACTGCAAGTTATTCATCTCCCAATACCGACCTTTTGGCTGTTCCGACCATGGCTCGGTTATATATGAGGGGTTCTAGTTCTACTCTACTGTAGTCATAAAGTTTTGAAAATGAATACGGTTCAAACTGTTCATGTATAATTTATTCCGCTGCTATAATTTGTACCTACAAAGAGTTTTAAATAACCAGTAAAGTAACAAAACAATGATTGGTTTTTAATGTGCTCAATAAAAGTATCTACTATTTTTTATGATTGGTTAGCTACTAATTAGCTTAGAAAATGTTTCATAGTTTAACAGAAAAGCCGTTTGTACTAAATTGTATAATGCCATTTCACATTATACCAATGCAAGACAAAACATTGCTTAGTTAATATTTACATTTTTGCAGGAAACACAGTTGCATTCTACACATTGGAACATTGCCTCAATTATTATTTAATTACGATTATGACCGCATTGGTGGTGTGATTTATTGAATTGTATGAAACAAAAATACAGAAAAAATTATGAACCACAGATAAAACTAAACTACCGGCTGAGCAGTACAGCATACTGTTGGCTAAATGTGCCATGTAAATTATAAGTCTGAAGAAGTGTGTAGAATATGAGGAAAAAATACATTTAATATGCCTATGGTTATAGATCTCCAATAAATATTGGTATTTGATTTGAATAGAATTTCCATGAGTCAGTCCAAACGCAATTTAACCATTGAGCTCGAGACATGATTGCTAATATCTTAAATTTCATTTGACAAGATTTCTTCCAGACGAACAGTATTGTCAATAAACATTGTTTGTCTGTTGAAGGAAAGTTTATACCTGTACTCCAATGGGGAGCCCATCTTTGTTCAAGCCCATAGGCACGTGGGTTGCTGGCATCTCTAAGGTGTTGAATATCATTGTAAATCCAACCCCAGCAGTCTTCATAGTGAACTGGCCGTGGTAGTAGGCTGGGATAGGGTGTGTGGGTAGAATAAAAACACCATCGTCACCTAAAATATCCTGCAAAACAACAAAAACCTTAAGTCAACATTTTTAATATATATCAAACAAATTCGACAGAAAGAGGTTAGGAATTTTTAGGTGATGCTAGCCTAGGACATAATAATTATCATAACAGGCTTGGGTGCATGAAGCCGGGTTTGATTCATACAACAATTTAAGGTTTTAAACGACTTCCCCTTTATCAAGTCCAGAATGGTATGGAAAAGATGAGACTAGTAGAGGAAGATTCAGAGGACCGAGAGAACTGGCGACAACGTGTTGGTGAGGCCAAGTAACAGCTTGGGTACAAGTGGCCATGGCAGTAAGTAAGTAAACGACTTCCCCTAAATATTACCATAAGTATAATTGTTAACTTTATCAGAAACATTTCTGAAAGACAGAAAAGGACGCCCAAGTACTAGAAACTGTTGGATCCTAGTTTTTCCCCCCAAGATTGTTTATCACATTTCTTCAGGTTAGACCTAGGGGTTGCGCCATTATAACTTGAAACCCATTAGTCATTTGGCAGGATTTGAGCTTGGGACCAAAGTCCCTTACTCCATCACTAGACCAGCTCGCTCCTTTGTTGGGCCCTAATACTGAATGATCTGGCCACTTCACAAACTATCTTGAAAATACTGAATCATATTCAAGGACTGATCCAATCTAAATATCTAACTCAAGTGTTCATATTATAGTACTAAATTCCTCCAAACGAAAATAGTTATTTAAAACATAACCTTAGTAACTAGAACAGTACTATAATATTGTTGTCTTAAAAATAAAATTTTGTTATGGTCAGGTAACTTTTTAGCTGAAGTTTCAGTCTTGTTACTGATTGCCATATTCAGGGTAGCAACAGAATAATAACAGCTCAAGTTACCTTTAATTTATATGACAAGGTTTTACACCCAAGACTAGATATTCTAGTCAAGTGTGACTCTTTCCTAAAGGCCACTCACATTAGGACACCCGGTCGCTTATCAACAGGAGATCTGGTTGAAGAGTGACTAAGTTGATGATTTCAAAATTCTGTGGTTATATATAAGATGTGTTTTGTTCTGGTTCGAGCTTAGTTGCACTTGGGCCTAAAGTGTGTACAACACCAAGCCCGCCGTTGAAGAGGAAATAGTTGCCAAAGTTATGATTGTATTTAATTGTGGGAAGCATAGAAGAAGAAATAAATTGTTTATAAGATTGTGGGCTAAAGAGTGGCTTCAACGTAGAAATATAGCCACATGGCATTCCTACGAGCTCTGTGACTTGAAAATCCTCAGGATTTTAAGAATTATTTACAGATGTCAAATGTCAGTTTCCATCATATTAGCAACCAGTGACGCCCGTGACACCTCACATTGAAAAAAGGACGCCAGAGATTGAGATTTTAGCATGGTTTTGTTTTGTCAGTTTATTTTTAGTGGTATTGCACATGCCCAAGCCGTATTTAGTTGATCAACTTAGTCGCTGAACCCTACACACTCTAGTTTTTTTTAGAAATCTCATTGTCCGGTGATAAAATGGTTGATCGGAAACCCCCAGGTTTTCAGTACATGTCTGAAAACCAAAATGTCGACTGGCAACCTACAAATCGCCATCAATCAAATTGACAGACCCACACACACGGCGATATTTGTGCAATTTGGTCACTCGTCAACCAGATTGCCGGTTGATAAGCGACCGGTTGTCCTAGTATGCCTTAAGAGCCTTACTTCTAGAATTAACTAATAGTTCATTCTGGTACTATATAAAATTCATTATAACTGCACTGGTAAATTATTCTTTCCCTTAACATAGTTTACATAATGTAAGATATTACTTTTTCCACACTTACCAAAAACTTTTTCTTCAGAGACGTGTGCATCGCTTGATACGTTTCACTCTTGCTGGGAGGAACAAATCCGTTCAGTTTGTAAATGACGGAAAATATAAGACCAGGAAGTGAAAACTGACTTGCTCCAAAGAGTGATTTTACAAATTCAATCAATAGATTCTTCTTTGCCTGGAAAATAAGACTCGTAAACAATTTGCCAAGTGGCATTATTTTTCTTAAGGATTTACTGTATATGCATTTTACTTTCTCCTTCTACACTAGTACAGTATATTGGAAATACAGTATTGTTTTTGTAAAAGTTATTAAGTTTTAGTTTTGGGTGGAAATATCCGTTTTGAGCCCCTTAATCCCAAAAAAGTGGTTTCAAAGTGATGTCAGTGTGTGGATATGTACAGAGCTACAGACATCACTTTTGGTCCGATTTTTTATGATATTTGGCATCCACTCATTAGTATATCCTCATTATTAATTTTTATGACATTTGGTCATTTCCCCATAAAACAACAGAAAAACCTTATTTTCACAAAAAACAACTAACGATCTTAACGATTTTGATTGAAATTTAGTATGTTATAGTCCTTTTAACCCTGAAAAATAGCACAACTAATGGGGTGGGTAAATCTACGGTTCAAAAGATATTGCAGTTTTTGCAATTTTCCTCATAAAACCCATGAAGATAAAATTTTATAAAAAAATAGCCTAGTCATGTCTGTACTAGGTATCTTCTATTTAAATTTAAATGTTTTGCTTGCAAAATTAGTACAATGTTCAATTTTAATTATCAAGCTGATAGGAGAAAGTATACATATCAAGTTTTTCAGTACCATTTATTCAAGATAGTATCAAATTTTAGTTACAGTATTAATCTCAACTAATTTCACATCAATAAAGTAGCTTGTGTAAAATATATACATTTGTATATTTTGTTACCTTTGGATCATCAGAAAGTGTCATCAGATCAGGAATGCCTTTCATTTGGAAGAAAACCGATGAACTTATCTCAACAGTATCATTTAGTTCTTCGATTCGAGGCTAAAACATAAACATGGAGGAGATAAGGCACAGAATTAGTTGCAATTTTAATTGTAAATTAATAACAAAGAAAGTTAAATAAATTCAAATTTTATTAACTCCACTAATACATAATCAGGATGTTTACTAACCTTGAGTGAATACAAACTTCTCACTAAAGTGTAGAAAGTAGTATATTGTTTCATCACTAGCACATAAAGTGACTCTTTTCAACCCGAGTTCAAGTTTTATGATCAAGGCAAGCCGAGGTCGGAAAATGAGCGAGAGTTGAAAAGAAACTTTTTGCCTGTGTGATGAACTACATTTTTCGTATTGCACCATTATTTGAACAAACTATATTTTACTACAAAACTAAAATAGTTTTCATTAAAAAGTTAACCTCTCAAAACTACTTTTAACTGGTTTTCAATTTAATTTGCTAATGGAAACAAGCAGCTGTTTAGTAAGTGATTCAATCGTTTCCTCAATTACGATTGTGTTAGTGTACATTTTTTTTTAGGTCTCCTACTAGAAGCACTTTTGCACTGTGGTTGTTAATGGTGATAGGCCAATGTTCATGGGTTTATATACCGGTAATCATCAACAGAGTATACCGGCCCTTTCTTGAAGTTTGTTCTTGAAGCTGGAGATATTATCAATTCTGATTTTAAGTGGAATTTTGTTACACATTTTTCCTAAGGTGAATCTTGGTCCACTCTGAGCCAGGCTGGAATTTACTTGAGTAACAAGTACGTTGTTTTTTTGTCTTGTACTGCAGTTACGTATTTCATTATTATTTTTAAAAATCTCAGGCTTTCTTTTAGCTATTATTGCTTCAAGAATAAACAATGCAGGAAGTGTAAGAAAATTTAGCTCTGTAATGAGTGGTTTACAGTGGGCACGATAAGGAGTCAAACTGTCGAAACTCCGTGACTATTACAGCTGAACATTAGTGTAAAATTCAGCTGATTTTAACTTTGTTGATGTCAGGCAAAGTATTATTTGTGTAGGGAAAGCAATGTTTATGTACCAAAAGTATAATGTTTATAATGTTTACGTGTTAGTTGATCACTATTTTTTTTTTGTATGGAAATTGAAGATTATCATAGATCTCAGCTGTATGGAAATGGGCTATTTTCGGATACAGAGTGATGAAATAGTATACAGTGGAACCTTGATAAGAATACCCTCGATAACAAGTTGCCCTTGATAACAAGTGTCATTTTCAAATCCCCTTAAAATTATTTTACCCCTAATCACATGTTATTACAAACCTCGATAAGAAGTAAACCTTGATAACAAATCTTATTTTACAATCCCCATGAGAGTCTTGTTATCAAGGTTCTACTGTATTTCATAACAAGAGTAGAAAGTGAGTCATTACATATTTGAGACCATGTTTGAAAAGCGAGATTTATCGAACACTTTAAATGGTCGAGAATATGTATAGACCCACTTTCACTCGTGTTTTGAACGTTACTTTTTGCTACACTACAAAGGATAATTATTTTCTTCATTACAAAACTCATAGAATTATTCAGGTTATGCCTTCAATTTAAAGTTAATATTTACTTTAGTTGTTGAAAATTGAAACAGTTGATAAAACAATATCAAATATTTGAAGTGGTTGACCCTGGAAAATTTTCCGTTGTAAACAATGTTACTTTCGGTAGTAAACTATAGACAGCTGTTGAAAATATGGTGTTTCGCAGGCTGTAAACACATAATGAAAACAGCTCAACTCATAGTAGTGTAGTGAAATAGTACATGAATAATTTGGTAATAATCCATAAAACACATGACTTAACTTATAATAGCTCTAAGAAGTATGCTCAGATTTTATCAAATTATTTTGCTTATTTATGTGTTGCCAAATTTAATGACTTCAATGTATCAGCCTAATGATAGATAATTTTACCTTTTCAACGCTGCAGCCATGTTTAGTTTTGAAATGTGTTGCTGCGTTCTCCACAGCCTGTTTGATTTCTTCGTCCGTTGGAATCATCACCATAGATTCTCCAAGATCTGTTAGGTATTTTATTCTAAGCTTTTTTAAGTCTACCTAAACACAATAAGTACACTGTTAATGAACCAGATTTTTCTCAAGTGGTAACAGTAATTTGTAATCATAAACTTTAGAAACAGACTAATTATGAAAATTAAATACTTTTAATCTTATTAATTAAATCTTTTGTAGGCTAATATTTTTACTACGGTATGTATTATTTATTTGTACTGTTACTATTGACTTATATAGATAATATGTGTGTGATTGTTAGTCAGCCTGTGCTAACGGGAGACTCAGTAGCTAGGAAGGGAACCTTGGTTATTTACTAGTAGTAGTGAAAATAACTCCTAATAAGTCCTAATATCATTTCAACTAATTTTTTCTACATGTATTTTCTATTTTTACCAAGCATAAAAATTGTGTAAAATTTGTTATACCACTGGACTAACAATTAGAGCTGTAAATATAGCTATAGTGCTTTTGAGATACAGTGACACAACTTACTTCTTCGTTTAGCCTCAGTAGTGGTGCCTTATCTCCAACCATAACCTTAAACAAAGGTAGCAGATCCTCGACATATCGAACCATTGGTCCAACTGTGAGGAATTTGTTGAAATTTTTATCATCTGAATTTGGAAAATGACCTTCCAGTGCAACAAAGCCTGAAACAAAAGGTTGAGTTTTTTTTTTAAGCAACAACTTCAAAAAGTTTACAAGTTCAAATATCTTTTTAGAGGCCATATTTCTTATACTGTACTGTCATAACCAGCACTAGGTTGTATTAAATTCTTCACAGGCATTAAAGAAATTCTTTCAATCAGTTCAACATTCTACAGTCTGTGATGTCAGTGAGAGTGTATAAAAAAGGTTATGTCTTCATAGCAATGAACATGTAAATTTTAAATTTGTTTATTAACTTTTTTAAATTAATTACCTATACTATATAGATTTATCTGATTCATCCAAAGTTAAGTTGTTTTCACAAAATTTCTTTTATGACACATCAAACAAATTAATAATTTTCAACAGTCTTGGTACCATGTTGTCTCTATAATACCATAAATAACTGAATTAGACTTGCCCTACATAAGTGAACATATGTATTGATTTGCATATTTTCATTGTTTTATTAAAGTTTCAACTCATGAAATGAAAAGGAAATCAACTCATGCAATAGAATGAATGAGTTTCAATCATATTTCAACACGTTGTGGTATTTTCCACTGTGTAAAATAAAAGTTCAACAAAAAGTTTGACGTAAAAGCTAACGTTAAATGGTTACCTGGAGTAGGTTTGTGTCCAAAGACGCCAGTAAACGCAGCTGGCAGTCGAATGGAACCAGCAATGTCAGAGGCAACGCTGCATACTGATGCTCCGGAAGACAGGAGAGCAGCCTGTAAAATCACATTTTTAATACAAATATAAACCAAACTAATAGCATCGTTTCAACAAACGTGACGAGAGCATTTTTTACCACAGTATTAATAATTGCCCCAGGAAATTGAAATTGAAAAATTAGAGTTGGCCCTTTTCATTAAATGAAAATTTTATGAGATCACAAGTACAGCCGATATGAGTTTTTTGTATGTCCCACCTTCACATCCTAGGACGCTATGCTCTAGTCCGGAACTGTTTTACACATTACTTCGAGCTAGTACTAGAGGGTCGCAGCATTAGCACAAAGATAACCCGGGACCTTGTGTTCCAAAGCCTATCACCAGACCAGCTCGCTCCCCAATGGATATGAGAATTTGGTGCATCCGCTTAGTTTCAATTTCATCAAACTTAGTTACAGAATGTAATACTATGCTATTGGTATTACTCAATATAATGCGTTACAGAAGACAACGTCTCTGAAGTAATGATGCGACGGAGCCTTACCTCTCCCCCAGAAGACCCTCCAGGGGTGCGGTTAAGATCGTAGGGATTGTTGGTTCGTCCAGTCACCAGATTGGTTGTCTCCCAGCACAGGCACAGTTCTGGTGTGTTGGTGACTGCTATGGGAATACCCCCAGCTTTCTTGAGGCTCTGAACAGCTGATCCATCCATCTTGGCCTTCTCGCCATGACGAGGCAGACATCCGACACTCTGACTCATTCCTGAGGTACAAATTATAGTTAGTTGTAATACTCTAGTATCCTTTTAACCAATGCCTTAAGCAGTTTTGAATAAAAATGTATTATGTTTACATTTGAAACATAGAACACTAGGGGTTGGGTTTCTAGGATTTTTTGTGAGGATGGCAAGCTTACCTAAATGAAAATGAGTCCAGTGCAAGCTAGCACAAAAAACACAAAATGAGCCCTATACACAAAAATTAGATAATTTTACTGACACTGACAGCATTTTAAACTAAGGAAGATTTAAGTAGGAGAGAAGACAATTGTGTATCCAGCTCAAACCTTCTTTAGTTGAAAATGCTGTCTGCACACAACATCTCCTTTATTCATTTAATTAGGAGATTTTCAGCAAACCACCATACAGACCAGGCATTTCCTACTAAAAATCCCCAGTCACTACACATATTGTTTCAACAATTTAGACTTAAAAAATTTATAACTTTAACTCCTACCCTCTCTTTTACAGCGAAAGTAACTCCCAAAAATATATACCTTTACCTCCTATGCTCTCTTTATAGTGAATGGAACTCCCAAAAATGTATACCTTTAACTCCTATGCTCTCTTTTACAGTGAATGGAACACCCAAAAATGTATACCTTTAACTCCTATGCTCTCTTTTACAGTGAACGGAACTCCTAAAAATGTATACCTTTAACTCCTATACTCTCTTTTGCAGTGAACGGAACTCCCAAAAATGTATACCTTTAACTCCTATGCTCTCTTTTACAGTGAATGGAACTCCCAAAAATGTATACCTTTTACTCCTATGCTTTCTTTTACTGTGAACGGAACTCCCAAAAATGGTGTATTCTTCTCCATTTGTTCCACCGTCAATTCCTTATTGTAAATCTTCTGATCTATTGAGTGAGCTTCGTCTAATGCTTTGATAAAGCGTTCCTCCACAATAGCATTCAGAGTTGGGTTCACTTCTCGACACCTCAGTATGAACGCTCTCACCACTTGTTCACAGGTGTACTGAAAACATTAGATTCAGGATAACAAACATTATTAATCATTATTAACATTATTTCTCATCATATCTTCTTTATTTGCATTGTGTGACTTATATTATTTTCATTGCGTGCGCGATCTCTTCGAGGCATCTAAGGCCGGGTCTATCCGTTTTCAACGGTCCCGTTGAACAGGAGCGTTTTTGAAGGAAGGAGCAACACATTGTATTGAATTGTCCGATCAAAACCAGACGTGAAAACGCTACCGTTACCTACTATCAAAGGGATGGTGCTTCCGTAAGGCATTCCTTAGAAAAATTACAAATACTAATGAAACATACTATGAAAACACAAAATCTAACGCAATTAATTTTCTTCTTTACAGCATAAAACAAATAACCTTATAATATTTTACTTGAATTCACTAAAACGTCAATAAAACATACTACAGTAGACTCCCTCTTATCCGGACACCTTTTTAACCTGACATCGATTTAACCGGACTAAACTCGGCGGAAATTACACATCTCTTTAACCGGACAACTTTTATCAGCGCACTGGTTTAATTGGACTAGATCGGCAGGAAGTGGGCGGTACTGAAACGACTGTTCTCGTGGGAAATATTTGAGACCAGTGATCACGTGTCTAAATACAATGCTCTGCTAAATTTAAGTCAAATATGTATACAGTATGCATTTAAACGGTCCGTTTTGACGAGTTTTTGGGGAAGTTTGTTTAACCGGGAAACTGTTATCCAGACTGGCCTCTGTCCTGAGGAGTCCGGATAAGAGGGAGTCTACTGTATAAGAACACAAAATCTAATGTAATTAATTTTCTTCTTTACATTTCAAACAAATAACATTAAAATATTTTACTTGAATTCACTAAAACATCCACAATTGTAACGATAACCCCATTTTCGGGTGAATGTAAAAAAAATTGTATCATGACCATCTATTTTGATGTAAACAAATCAACAAATGTAAACTGGAAAAAGTTCAGATGATTTACAACAGAATTCAGCACTAACACTGAAATTTTAAAAGCCTATAGGACAAAAGGCTTTCAGGGGATTTCATCCCAACCTGCAAAAGGCCCATATAGAGGATAAGAGCTTTAAATTGATACCCAGTATGCCCATAAAATAAATATTTAGGGGTCGATTTGCTGCACACAAAAATCCAACAAATTCTTTTAATAATATGGATAAGACCATTACAGCTGATGGTGGAAAAAAACGGAAAGTGTACATACACCATAAAACTACAACAGAAAAGTAAACGGTTTTAACCTCAACAGAAAAAAAGTAAATTCAACTTTTCATTCACATCTTGACTTAGTTATCAAATACAATACTATACAAAACATAACCATTCTTGTCACCTCTCATCTTTCTACTTGATAAAAGTTATCAAAATAATTCCACAAGTTTCTAAAAAAAAAACTTACCAATATTCTTGATGCCATAAGGTTGCAATTTATTGGACGAAAGGTCTTGCATTTTCTAAACTTTTCAAACAATAAAATATTTCCTCTTTTTCAAAATCAAGTATGACATTTAAGTATCACCAAAGTTATCAAATCATTTACACAATTTTAGTTTTTTACTAGGTACGTCCGAAAAGTGCCAGGCTTGCCGCAGGGGCGAAGCGTAGTGCGCAAGAATAAAAATCGGTAAAAGTATAAATTTTCATCCCAAAAGTGCCATGGAACGATATGTCGTGCCTCGATCGTATGAAATATCGATTGAAATCATTGTTGTTATATAATAACAACCGAGTCAACCGATATGCCCATTAAAACTCACATGATCGAAAGTCGCGCCGGCCCGATATATCGTTGCAATGTATTTTTCGGTAAGACATATCATTGTGAAGTATTTTTCAGATGGGTTGTGCAAAACGATATATCGTTGCGTGGCACTCAAAGGGTTAAACAGTTTTCATAAGATCACAGTGTAAACATTTCCTGGTAAACTATTTTTTATCTGTTTTGTTTCACTAGAAAACCATTCTTAATCTTATTTCAACGCCAATCTTACAAACATGTGTAAAACATTAAGAGTTGATTGTACACCCTGTTTAATATGACTGAAAATATGATGTTTAATATTGTGGCTACATGGTTTTGCCATTAATTTGAATCTGCTAATTACTGTCTCAACTATACTTTGAATGTTAAAATTATAATATATCAGCTGACTGTTTGTAAACTTTATATTTGATTTTATTGTAGTTCTTTCTTAATACAAAAGTGTTTCAATGTTATAATCTCTTCTTTTAATTAACTTATTTTGTGTTAGTATATTTATATAAGGCACAAGCCATATTTGGTGACCCCTTACTGTACTTTTTATTGTCATTAATTCAATTGGACCATAATGAATAATCAAGATTCTACTCCAACTCCTAGTACACCAGAGGCTTCACAAATCTCACCAATTCAAGTGAAAATTCCACCATTTTGGTCAAAAAATGTTTCACTTTGGTTTCATCAAATTGAATGTCAGTTTTCTCTTCATGGAATTTCAAAGGAAAGAACTAAATACAATTATGTAATGAGCTCACTGGACAATGAAGTTGCAAGTCACCTTTCGGATTTTATTACCAAACCTTTGTCTCAAACTCCCTACTCTGACTTAAAAGAAAGGCTCTGCTCAGAATACGAAATTTCAGAAAATGCCAAACTAAAACAACTGACAACAGAAGTTTTTCTCGGAGATAAGAAGCCGACAACTCTTCTTCGTGAAATGAGAACCTTAGCAGGCACACAGGTAACTGACAGTTTTTTGAAAGTTATTTTTCTACAACGTCTACCTAGTCACATTCGTACTGCTCTAGCTGCTTCTCAAACCAATTCTCTTGATGACTTAGCTAAATTAGGTGACCAAATAGCTGAACTATCAGCTGTCGACAACTACGTTTGTGCTCAAGGAGATGTTGCGCAATCTAGTGATCGGATTGCCAACTTAGAAAAACAAGTCAGCGAACTAACTCAGTCTATTGATGGACTTCTTAAGTTAAGTAAAGGGCATTTCCATAGAAACGTCACCTTCTGATGTAAAATAAAAATGTTTAATAACCTTATACAACTATACATTTTTGGAAAGCCAATAAACCACTGATTTAGAAAATACAACTCTAATAAAGAATAAAAAATAAAAAATAAAATTATTCAAGGCCAAATCAAACATATTTTCACAGTTTCATTTCTTCACATTGCGGGCGTTAACCAAACTGATAAAAAAAAACCATACCATGAGGAATTTACTCAAATTTGTTGTGGTTAGATTGCCATTGAAACAAGGAACATTTTAATATGTAATAACTTAAAAAAAATGTAGCTTGATCATTTTTTAAGAATTTATTGTTTTCTCCAAATTAAAATTTTACGTCCGACACTAAAAACTTACATTTAGTTTTATAACAAGACTTATGATTTTTTTTGAAAAGTGAAACTTGGTTTCCAAAGCAAGTTCATTATTTACTTTGTTAATGCAAAGTTTCAACAAATTATCTTCCTTAGTTTTTCTAAAAACATGGTGTCGGACGTAAATATTCTGTTTACGTCCGACACTTACGTCCGACCCCTGGTATAGTAAATGTAGCCAACTACTTTAATAGAAGTATTAAGCACATATTAACTTAATTGGCCTTGCATCTACATTAAAATAAAATGAACTATCTCAATATGTAGGCCTAGTTAAGGCATACAAATAAATTAAAAACCTATACATTTTTAACCGTATTCTATGGTTTATTTTTCTTCTAGTCTGTCTCCAACACATGTTTTTGGGTTTTTCAATATTTACATGTTATTATTGTTGGTTTAAAAAATAAAATGTTCTAAATGTTCAAGAAATACATCTTTAAGTTTTGTATTTAATAATGTTTACTTTCATTTATTAGTGATTTTCTCTACAGTATTTAAGTATCTTATTAAGTTATAAGGATTTCTCTCTCTTCAATACTAATACATTTGTTATATCTCAAGACAAGTAATCAAGGTTAGAAAGAATTAATACGAGGTACCTAACTCTCTATTCCTATTCCATTACTCAAGCCTAAAGCTAAATGCTCTCCTCTCTAAATTCCCTAATCATTTCACCTAAACAATAAAATAATTTGTAAAAAAATAAGTAACTTTCTAAGAATATTTAGTTTTAAGAAACATACACACTAGCCCACTAGTAGGCCTACAAAAGTTTTCCCAGATTAATGGAACTTTGAAAAAATACTGCCCTGGTTGTTTCAATGTGATTTGTTTTTTTAAAACAGGTGAACTTGGTTGTTTTTTTCAGTCAGTTCAGTTTAGTTCCAGTCAGTTTCAGTTGTCTGATTGCTTTGACAATAGGCTAGTTGAAAGTTAGTAATCTTTTGATTGAGGTTTTGTACTTAACTAACTTATTTCCAACTCTTCAGTCTCAGATTACATGGTTTAAACATTCCAAGTTACATAAATTAAACATTCCCTGAAGCTTTTTTGTACGTAGGGGTCCTAGGCCTATATACTTATGTTACCTACTGTAACCATATAACGTAAATGGTCAATTTAGGCTATTTTTGTATTTTTTCAGTTTAAAAAAATCAGTAAACAAAGTTTCTGTCTTTTACAATGTTGTATCTTGTTGTTTTAGACCCCAATCGAAGATAACTTTGGACGTTTTACGTCCGACACCAAAAATTTTACGTCCAACACCAAATCTAAAAATAAAAATAAAAATAAATATACACTCTATAAATTTGAGATTGGAATTATTTCAAAGCAAATTATCCCCTTTTTAAGCAAAAAAATTGTTTTGGAGTTATCTTAAAACAATTCACAGAGTTTTCAACATAAGTGTAGAAAAGTTCGAATTTGTTATTTTAACATTTTACGTCCGACACCTCCCATGTAGCACAGATGGTTGGGCCAACGTTGGCCAACTGTGGGACAGATGGTTGATGGTTGGTTGGAGCCTCCACAACCAACCAACCGTTGTCCAACTGTATATCTCGTAGTTGGGCCAACCAATATTTACAACTG